TAATTTAAATTATGAATAAGTAAAATTAAAATTTTTCCGTTGCAATAAAATGATTTAATAGTTTCTATTTTTACAAAAAATTGTTTAAATCTTTTCTTTTAATTTTGATTTATTAATAAAATTAGTAAGTCAAAAATAAAAATGAAATAAGTAAGTCAATGGAATTAGTAAGTCAAGTTTAAAAATCTTTAATGATCAAAAATTACAATTTTAAAGAGACGTTATTATTGAAAAAAGGTTTTTTTGCAACTTTAAAAAAAAAATGTTTACATAATTTAAAAATATTATATTTTTTTCTTTTCAATAATTTAATTTCACTTTTTAACAATTTAAATAAAATTTATTTATTTATTAAACAATCATTAGAAGTAAAAAAGATAAGTTTTAAAGTAATTTATTTCAAATGGAATTAAAAACATAAAAAAAGTAATTTTTGCTTCGAGTTTGAATTTTTTGAGTTTTATTTTAAAGCTTTTTGTAAGGAATTGTTTTCTTTAGCTTCTTTCTTCTTAGTGTTTCTTTTTTCAGCACATTTCTAAAAAATCATTAGCCAGCAATAGCGTTTAAATACACTCTATTCCTGTCAAAGGCTGCTGCAAATGTGCTGCTATATTAACTAAGAGTTTGGGTTGGGGCAGCAATCTTTTTCATTATTTAAAAACTTTTTCTTTTTTTTCTGATATATATATATATATATATATATATATATATATCACTATTTTTCTTTTCACTATTTTTATTTTAATTTAAACAAAAATAGCGTAGAACTAATTCCCACGTTAACTTAAAAAAGACCATCCTGCCAGTGCTTTATGATGTACTGGCATTAAATTTCAAACAGAGAAGACATATATATATATATATATATATATATATATATATATATATATATATATATATATATATATATATATATATAACTAATACATATAATTTTGTTTCAAAAAGGAAAAAATCGCTGCTCAAACCTTAACCTCAGCCAATCCTGCAGCAACATTCTTGCATGTTCTCCCTTAAGCAGTTGATGTACATAATGAAATCATCATAAGCTCCCGAAATCATTACGACATCTGAGTGCCAATCTAAGTATGCTTTTATTGTTATATATACTATACTATAAAAGAATATCAAAGAACTTACACGGGGTAATTGGACTCCACCACCAGATGGTAACATATGTAAACTTTGTAAATTTATACTTGACAATAAAACCAATCAAGTTTTATTCAAACTATTGTCCTTTTTTATTTATGAATAATTTTTTTCTATGTTAAGCAAATAAAAAACTGATATTGAATTAAAAATAAGTAAACAAAATTAAATACTACATTAGATATTTTTACTAAATAAAGTACTTTCCATTAAATTTTTATAATGCATAGTTTCACAATTACAATTTAAATTACAGTTTTATTAAAATTGTCATAACACAACAAAGCATTATTTGTCTAATCTTTTTGTATATATTGTTAAATGCTAGACTTTGATTTAGATAAAGTGATAAATTTTTTCTTGAACCTTGTTACTCACGATTATCTTGCATCAAATAATCTCTATAGCTCTTTTCGAAGTCAGCCTTTTTCTTTAAAGCTTTTTCACGGTTTTCTCTTATTTTTTCATTTCTTTCTTCTTCTAAACATTTTTGAAGTTCTCTTTTTAATTTATTACACTGACCAAAAAACTTTCCTATCGAATGTTCTTCATGACATCGTTCAAATAGCTGTATAATTGGAACACACTTATTGTGTAAGTGAATTGACAGATTGGAATGCATTATATTAAATATCTAATTGCAACATATACTATTATTAAAAAAAACAACCAAAAATATATATATCAATTTTATAATCGGTAGATTAGCTTCAAAATGGAAGTTGATTTTCTAACAAAAATACGTTTTATAAGGCATGTACAAAATGATACTTTTTAAAAAACAAGTTATTATCTACATGTTCGCCTAAAGATTGTTATACTAAGTTAAAAGTCATGACATAAAAATCAGTAAAAAAAAATTATTATTATTAAAGTTTTCATAATCGCAATTAAAATAAATAATTTTATGGAACTAATGGGTTGTTAACATAAACTGTTGTTAACTAAAGTCCGAATTATAAAATATTAATTCGTAAATTAGTTTAAAAAAATTCCTTGAAATTAACTTTAATTTTTCAAACTAAATAGAAGTTTATAGTTGAAAGTATTTATTTTCTTTTAAAAAGGTTCGCTTTCCAGTTTTAAAATGATATTTCAGATAATGGCTTAAATATACGAGAACACTTTAATCTACCGAAACACAGCGGAAATTTGATTCCCAATTAATCTAAATAGGATGTACTTATAAATTTTCAATTCTTTAATATTTATAACACATACACATATATATGTATATATATATATATATATATATATATATATATATATATATATATATATATATATATATATATATATATATATATATATATATATATATATATATATATATATATATATATATATATAATATATATATATATATATATATATATATATATATATATATATATATATATATATATATGCAATATATAATATAATATATAATATAATATATAATAATAGTAATAACAACAACAACAATAATAATAGTAATAATAATAATAATAGCAATAACAATAATAATAATAACAATAATAATAATAATAATAATAATAATAATAATAATAATAATAATAATAATAATAATAATAATAATAATAATAATAATAATAATAATAATAATAGTAATAATATATATATATATATATATATATATATATATATTTATATATATATATATATATATACATATATATATATATATATATATATATATATATATATATATATATATATATATATATATATATATATATATATATATATATATATATATATATATATAATGATTACAAGCATACTTATAATAAATAAATTTCTTTACCCATGTTTAAAAATTTTTATATAATAATATACTTTAAATGAAACTTATAACTATACTATTCTAATTAGCAGATTTTATGGTGTATCAACTTACTGTTTGATATAAATGCATCAGATGTCTAAACAAATGCAAAAAGATTTCTTATGAGTTCTGAAGCATCACTTGCTGACCATTTTACAATGAGTGCTGCTCAAAATGGTAGTTTTGATATTTTATGATAATAATAATAATAATAGCAATAATAATAATAACAATAATAATAATAATAATAACAATAAAAGTGATAATAACTTTCTTAGAGTCATTATGTTTACTTTGATTATAATTGAATTTAAAAAAGGAGCATTATTATTGAAACAGTAGCAAATTTTTTTAAAGTGAGTTTGAATTTTCACTCTATAGAAATAAACTGGTATAATAGGCACCCCCTTTAGTAAGTCAGTAAAAATGTTTTACACAAAATGAGTGTTGTTGAAAAACATGCCCTAACCAAACCCTAACCCTAACCTTTAGGGTTAGACTTAGGGTTTGGTTATGGTATAGTTTTCAATAAAATAAACTTTAGTTTTGGGTTTAGAGTTAGAGTGTAGTTTTAAATAAATATAATGCGTAAAATGTCACATATTTTTTATAGACTTACAAAAAGGGGGTGTCTGAAATACACGTCTGCTGTATAATTTTAGCTATTATTAGTATAATTTTAGTTAATTTTAGTTATTAATAGTATAATTTTAGTTATTAATAATAAAATAGATAACAAAAATTATAAAGGTGTGTTACTAGTAACTGAATAAAAGTTAGCAGTCTAAAGACCACTAAGTTTGTTGAATTTTATATTAGATAGTTTTTTTTTAACTATAATCCAAATTTTGTCACACACATACATAGAAAGAAAGCATAGGGATATTTGAATGCCAGTTATAGGAGGCCTTTTTATTTTATTAAGTTTCCTATACCTCCATTTTCTAGGTAATAAATTTCTAGATAGACCTCTAGGATATTATCAATATTTAAGTAACAATTAATTCAAGAGTGCTATTGTTTCTGTTCTATAAAATCAGTTTTAAACATAAAATGCAGAGGATTAACAACATTTTATTATAAGCAAAAAATATCAATGGAGGTCAATAGATTATTTGACTTGACAATGAGGATTTTTTAGATAAAGAAGATTTAGAGCCCTCGATTAAAAATGTAAAATAATGTCAGTAAATTAGAATAATTCAAGTTAAACTGCAATAATTCAAATGAGATAAAATTTATATATGCATCATATATAAATTTTATCTCATTTTTTATAAAAAACATAAAATTCATATTGTTTTACTATTTTATAGATTAATCTGTAAATGTGAGTTCTTGTGACTGTGAATACTTTTTGATTTTCATTTTACGCTAATATTATGGTCTTTTACTAATATTAGATCTTTTAAATTTGGCATTCATTAAAGATGAATTTGATTGAAATTTATATTCATTAGAATAGAACTTGTATTAACAGGTTCTATTCTAATAAATATAAATTTTAATCAAATTTATCAAAAAGCGCTATATATATGTATATATATATATATATATATATATATATATATATATATATATATATATATATATATATATATATATATATATATATATATTTATATATATATATATTATATATATATATATATATATATATATATATATATATATATATATATATTTATATATATATATATTATATATATATATATATATATATATATATATATATATTTATCTTTATATATATATATATTTGTATATATATATATTTATATTATATATATATATATATATATATATATATATATATATATATATATATATATATATATATATATATATATATATATATATATATATATATATATATATATATATGCATTTATTCTAATTCGCTTTAAAAAAGGCTGCAAACAACCACTATTAAGTTGGGAGTTATATGAAAAAAAGAATAGAGTCATAAAGCAAGAAGATGGTTGATAGAAGACTTAAAAAGTTGAAGGTTGTATGAGTCAGGAAAACATTAAGATGGTATAGAATTCCAAAACATTAAAGTGCAAGGAAAATAACTAGATAAATAAAAGTTTTTGGAGCATTCAGAGACAGATTCAGTAAAAGAATAAGATTTTGGTGAATGACTAGTCAAGCGAGTATAAGATTTAGTTGATGAAACTAGAGATGATAGCTTCTTTGAGCAGCAGCCATAGTAGTATTTGTAGAAAAGAGAAAGAGATGCAACTTTACAACGATAGGAAAGAGGCTCAAGCTTAGCAGATAGACTGGGTCCAACTACATTTACAATGCGTTTTTAGAACTTGTCTAGAAGAAAAAAAGCATCATTAGAAGAACCAGCCCAAATATGACAACAGTATTCCATATAGGGACGAATAAGAGATTTGTAGATGTAGCAGTGTTTCACAGGAAGACATGCAATTGCATGTCTTTATATGACCATGCATATGACTCAACCATGGCTTTGAAATAATTTGATAATGTTCACAAATTTTTAAAAATAGCACTTAAAAATGTAAGTAAACTAAATCGAAATGAAACAAAAACCATAAACTAAAACAAGAAAATAAATCTTGACCAACAAAAAATAAACAAAAGTAAAAAAGTAAGCTAAAAAACTAAATTTTCATTTTTTAAATTTAAAAGCATTTAATAAAGATCAAAGTTTGTAAGTTAATTATTCCAAACTAATTTATAAATGAAATTTTTAACAATTTTGTTGCAGTAAGTTATAGGAGGAGTGAATAGGCTAGTGTGGGGTTTATAACACATCATTTTACATAAAATTTAATTCAGTTTGATATAAATCACTTGCTAAAACTTAATGTTTATCCTTTTTTTTTTTACTGTTTTTGTTTCCTTATTTTTAGGATTCCTCTTATTTTGATCAATGAAATCTGATACTATTAAGAAAATAAAACAGATTATATGTCAAAAAAATTTAAACGTAAATAAAACATCTACAACATCTATTTGATAATTATATATATCAATATAAAGAAAGAACAAATTTTAATTTATGTTTACAAAAATATTTTACAAAAATTGTATGTTTTTTCTCAATACAGCAAGGGAGAAAATAAATTTTTATCTATTTTTACACTGTATATATATATATATATATATATATATATATATATATATATATAATATATATATATATATATATATATATATATATATATATATATATATATATATATATATATATATATATATATATATATATATATATACATATAAACAAGTTTATATTGTAAATTGATAAAAAGTTATTAGTAGCAATATAAAAATCTAAAATACACAGCTAAATTCTCTACCATCACTAGATTAATCATCTTTTTCACTAAAATCTTATACTTGTTCATCCGAATTACTTATTCAGTGAGGGGTTTATATCAAACACAGGCCTCGTGATGAAGCGGGAGCAATTGCTCCATGCATGTGAAACATGCTAGTAAATGACCTTCCGGGAGCGACAAATAGCGCTTGCTAGTTTTGTTATGATAGTAAAAAATCGCGCTCGTCTAAAGAATTTGTGAGGAAGAAAATTATAAATTTTAAGTTGTTGATTTAAAAAAAAATTTTTTTAGTAAAATTTTTTTGTTGAAGTCACAATATGTTTAAACAGTAGAGTTTGCATACTGTTAAATAAAGAAGTTATATTTGTAATAAAGTACGTAACACATATTTAGGCGTGGTGTACTTTAATTTTAATTTATGCTGTATAAGTTCAAATTAAAAATAATTTATTTCTTTTATTTGAAAGCTAAATTCAGCATGTTTCTTTTTTTTAAATTCCAGTTGAACTTTATCATATTATCCACTTAATCGTACCCTGGTTAAGTCAAACCATTCGCCAACTCATACAGTTTGTTGGGGATCAATTGAAAAAAAACTTTGCTAAACTAAAACTTTTACTTTGAATTGCATTAAAGTCCATGTAATAAAATATCAAAACTTGCAACACTTCAATGAAAAGTTAAATGTTAAAAAATTATGTTCACAAAAAATGATGAGGTACTTTGAAAATTTTTGTATGTGACTGATTCAACATTACGTATAGGTTGAGGTAATCCATTTCATTAAAGAATCCAATATGTGCGTTCATGTCTTCATATATTTGAATAAGGTGTTCTACTTTAAAACCAATCAAACCTGTGTTGGTAGTGAGTATAGCCCGCAGTTGCATTGAGATAAATTAGCTATTATTAGGTCTGAAGGCTGTGGCTAGAGGGTTTAAAGTAGAGTTTTTAGGTCTTTGTCTGAATTAGAAGTATTTGCTGTTGGTTGGTATGGTGGTTGAAGATGAAGGGTCAGTGTTCAATTATTGGGTCTAGGTGGTATTGGAATGCTTATAACTTTTGTAATACTCTGAGAGATAGATATAACATAGACGTATTTTTGTTTGTCTCCGGAGAGAATGACATTGATGCAACATATGGTTTTAGTATGTTTATACTACAAAATTAGGTATACTTTGTGTCAAAATCATTAAATTTAATTGAGGAAACTATATAAATTTAACATTTTTTAAAAAACCACAAAGGCGTACATTAATTTATACGACATTTTCAAAAAAAAGATGAAAAAAACAAGAAGAATTAAAGAGAAGATTGGTGCCCCATGCCAAACCTACTGTCAATGTAGCAGCCCTCCCTTGCAGCAGCAAGCTATAAGATAGTGGATGTATGTACTGAAGTTTCTCACAGCAGTTTGTTTCAGTGTGATGTCAGAAATTTATTTAAACACACATTCATAGTATATTGAATATATATATATATATATATATATATATATATATATATATATATATATATATATATTTATATATATATATATATATATATATATATATATATATATATATATATATATATATATATATATATATATATATATATATATATATATATATATATATATATATATATATATATATATATATTAAGGACTACTATATGACAGGACGTGCAAATTCGATTTTCTGACGAAAGCCATTATTCCTATCAAAGTGGAATCGTTTTTAACATTACAGTAATATTTTTTGAAAATCTCTTTCATTATGCCAAGCAAATGTGGAATTGTGAATTGTAAAGGAAATTATAATGAGCTTAATAAGTGTCGTGTTTTTAAATGATGAAAGATAAAGTTAAGAAACAGAAATGGATTGACGTGCTTCCTCCCCGTAAAGATTTTGTTATAGAGCTTTCTAAATTTTTTATATGTGAAAAACATTGGCCTGAAAATACAGAAATGATTTTTTTTTTAAATTATTCACCTCCCCAAGGCCCGAGGGGGCCTCTACAGTCGAGGAGGCTACTCATTTTTTAAGCTTCATTTTAAGCTTCTTCAGATTAAGCTTCCTGGTGGCTATAATCGACCACTATGTGCACCAAGTATTTTTAATGTTCCCTTTTCTTGTCTACCAACACCAAATTCAGTGCTTCGCCAATTTGAGCCTGAGGATCAGCAACTTAATTATTTTCTTAAAAATAAAAGATAAATTCGTTTTCTGAATTTTATCCTGACAAAGAATTACACAAAAAGTATGAAAGTATTGTAATATTTTGGCAAAAAGATATGTATTTTAATGTTAAAGGATTTTAAAGAGAGCTTCATGACAATAACTGCTTACAATAAGTGTACATTGTGTTCACCACTAACTTTTTCTGCTTTTAAACACGGTGTCAGCATTCCATTAAGCAATATATCGAATCCCAACAATGGCTTAGTCTTCTACTCATAGTTTTTTGAAGCAGTTAATTTAGTTTATAATTATACTCTGCATGTTAATGATATTATTGAAAAGCTGATAATTATTCTTTCAGAACATGAATTTGAAATCAATGATGATATAAAGTTACAATTATTGTATGATGATATAAAATTACAAGACAATTTAAACTATTGTGTTACAAAAGTTTTTCTATAGCTGGTTATTGCTTTGCTATTGAGTCTTTTTATAACACCATCTACAACTGGTGTTAAAAAAAAAAATTGATCAACTTGGTGATTTTTTAGTGCTTTCAAGTAAATGAAAGCTGCAGTCTTTAATTTCTGCCACAAACATCGATCTTGTATTACAAAAAATATTTAAAAAGTAAAGAATGATCAACTATCAAAAATGCTTTTTTTGATAGTTGATGAGGTAAAAATCAGACCAACAGTTGCTTATTCAGGCAGAGTTTTATATGGGATGGCAAAAAATGATCCAGAATCTAAAGCAACTTCTATGCTATGTGTAATGACGAAATGCTTACATGGTGGACCTAGTTTAATGGTTTCTGTTACACCTGTTCACAAACTAACATCAATGTATCAATTCAGTGTTGTGAAAGAAGCTGCTGTTTTAGCTGAAAAAAATTGTGCCATTATTTTAGGATCTGTAACAGATAATCATAAAATCAATCAGCAATACTGCACAATTTTCAAAAGAATTACTGATTATCAGGCCATTCATCAATTAGACAATCAGCGTGTTTGGTTTCTTTTGTTTGATACAGTTCATCTTCTTAAATGTTTGCATCACAACTGGATTTCTGAAAATTTTAAAAAATCTCTTGACAATGAAATCATTGGTTTCTTTTCTGATGTCAAAAACTTATATCATTATGAAAAAGATCACATTTTAAAATTAGTTCCCATATCCCATGCTGCTGTTTATCCTTCTAGACTTTAACTACAAAATGTGCAACATGTTTTAAAAATATTTAATGACAAAGTAGTAGCTGCTTTGAAACTAAAAGGAGCTCATAAAACATCCTCTTTTATTCAGCAGGTTTTAGATTGGTGAAAGACCAAGCAAAAAATGCATGTCTTTATCAGACATCAATTAAAAAGGCATGCCTTGCCAAGTAATATTTATTTACAGATTTTGTTAATTTGTGTTTGTTGTTAATTTACTTATAGAGTTTTATATACTGACTATATATATATATATATATATATATATATATATATATATATATATATATATATATATATATATATATATATATATATATATATATATATATATATATATATATATATATATATATATATATATATATATATATATATATATATATATATATATATATTTATATATATAACACACACACACATATTTCTGCTTTAACAAAAACTTTTTTAAAAGAATTTTAATTCAATTTTTAAATAAAGCAAAATATTTATTGAAAATATTTTAAACAAATTAAAAACAAATCAAAGAAATCTGTAATCATTTGCAATAAAAAAATAAAAAATAAAAACTTTTTTTTTAGAATCTGCTGAACAACTTAATAACAGACATGGTTCACATGCAAGTGATGATGATGGGCTTGTGAGTTTAGTTTATTATTTCTTTCAAACATGAATTAATTGTTATTTTCTCTTTCACACTGATCCATGGCAAATTCTTTTACTAACATTTTTTTATTTCAATTTTTGATTTTATTTGAAGGTTGACAAAAAAGACCCTTCTTGGAAATCAAAGTCTATTATTAAGCAAGGTCATTTAAGAGTAAAAGAAGATGGGCAAAAAGTTTACAAAAAGGTATGCTTCACACAATATGCAAAATAAAATAAAACAATGGTTTAATTTTTGACATAAAGTTCTGAAATTTTAGACTCCAAGTCAAGCCATTATGGATGCTACACAGCTTGGTATTGGTTTTTCAGTGAGATTTTTTCTCTCTCTTTTCTTTTTTAGTATAATATATATATATATATATATATATATATATATATATATATATATATATATATATATATATATATATATATATATATATATATATATATATATATATGTATGTATGTATATATATATGTATATATATATATGTATATATATCTATATATATATATAATCAGTTCTCGCCTAAACCAGAAAAAAATATATTCATTCATGATAAAAATTTTATTAGGTTGGTAGACTCAGTGCAAAACCAGAGCGTGATGTTCTTATGGGTGATTTCTATTTTGTTGAAAAAGTTTGGTTTCCAAGGTAATTATGGTCTTTTTTCCATTTAAAAATATTTATATTTAGTATGGGCTAAATATAATATAATCACATAAAAGTTTCAAAAATATATATTTAGTTAAAATAATTTATTCTACCATAAATGAACAGTAAGTGATTGATTTCCTGTGTTGCACAAAATAATTCACTTGTATATACACTTACTAAAGCGTGTTTTTATAAGCATTTGCTCACTTTTTTTGCTTACCTTAACCCATACTGCTTTTTTTGAAAAAGAAGAAAAAAAAAACAAAGAATGATGAATAAAACGATTGCTGCCCCATCCCAAACCCTTAGTCGATGTAGCAGCACTCCACCTGAGTCATGCTATTTGTCAGTTGATGTATGTACTGAAGCCCCCAGCAGCAGGCTATTTCAGTATGGTGTCAGATTGCTTACCTTAGTACGCAATACTATTTGTAAAAATATCTTTTCTTCACAAGTAAGGAAAAGATACTTTTACCGATAATTTTACATTTTACATTTTACATTTTAACCAGAATCTGTTTCTTTTATTTATTTTTTTCTTAGTTATTGGTTGACAACAGCAGCATGTTTTAATTGTTACCAAAGCAACCAAGATTTATTATTTGCTTGATTTGACTATTAAATCAATTTCAAATACAAATTGTAGTTGTATATTTATGTGAAAATAATAAAGTAAATTTAAAGTTTTTTCTTTGAAATACTTAAAAAATCTAAAATAAAATTTATTTTATGATAAATCTATATTTGAAATAACAAAAAATTGTATTATTGAAAAAAATACAGTTTTGTAGCAATGATGAAGCTAATGTTTTTTTTTTCAACATCTTTACTTCCATCAAGGCTGCGGGCAACCACTATTACAGTTGGAAGTTACTGGAAGAGAAAAGATAAAGTTTATAGAGCATGATGATGATTATTAGATTCGAGATAAGTGATTAAGTGTTTATTAATTAAAGACTTGAAAATCTTGCTTATGATTGTAAGAAGACAAATGGGATGTTAGATAAGTCAGATTGCTCTCCAGAATTTTTGAAAATAACAGATGCTAATGATTATGATAAGGACTTGTTAATGAAGATTATGATAAGGGCTTGTTAAATAGTTTTGAAAGTATAGATGACAGCTCCAGAGAACACTTCTGCAACACTATAACAGGTATGTTGTCCAGACCACAAGCTGTAGAAGGGTCTAAGCAGGAAATCACTTTAGATACAGAAGCTTGAGTGATACAAAGGTCAAGCAATGGATTAACCTATTTGTCCGCTATATCAGGTAGAAGGCAACTAGTGGAATCAAGAGATGATAATGGTGAGAAGATTTTAATAGGGATGCGCCGAACGTTCAGTCGAACCTTGGCAAAAGTTCGGCCGAATATGCGAAAAATGCAAAATTTGGAAAATATCATGTTTTCTTAGATTAGACGTCAAATTTAACTCATTTATGCCGTATCTGGTAGCTATGGTAAAATAAGTTAAATTTTAATATAAAATTTAATTATTTTATTATTTGAAGCTTTCCAACTGTCACAAATAGCTACTAATTATGAAAGTAAGCTTTCTATATTTGAAACCTCCATCTCTAAAGTCGCGTTACTGGTTTGAATGACTTTGTTACAAATGTCAATTCAAATTAATATTCTGTGCAACAGGAATCTCATTTTTAGTTCTTGGAGTAGCTGGTCTAAAAATGCCAGCTTTACTCCTGGAAGATGAGCTCCAAATGGTTTTAAACTCTCTATTCGATCTGACCACCTGGGGCCAGATATGCTGTGAAGGAAACAACCAATACGCTTGTATAACATTTCGTACCTCTTTGGACTACACCTGAGTAAAGATATATTGTTTGCATAGTTCCGAAGTAGATTATAGCTTCTGGAATACATTCAACAGCATCATTACCACATAAGTTAAAAGTGTGGCAGGCACAAGGAAAAAACATAGCAGTAGGACACCATTGTATTTGCCTGACATATTTGGCAAATTGTTATAACTTTGAGCCCTACAACAAGCCAGTGGAATATTACTTTGTAGCGTTTTTGTAATCATTTCAGCAATTTCATCACAAAGAAAATTGCAAAAGAGTTCCAATCAGCTTTAAGATAGTTAATTCTGATGATGAAGAAGAATGAGATAATAGTTTTAGTGAGATCAAACTGTGATCAGAAGTAGAAGGGTGAAAGTGGAGAAACTGAGCACTGACTAGGATCAGAAACAAAGCATATGTCAAGTAGAGAAGATAAATGATTGGGATTGTCAGAAAAGTGAGTTGGAAAGTTGAGTACTTGTGTTAGAGGTTAAGAAAGGCAAAAGTTACCAGCCTTAATGCCTGCAGAGTCACTGACAATAATGCCAAGCCATTTAGTGTGATGAGCATTAAAGGCACCAACAACAATGATATTGATTAAAGGATAAAGAAAAAGGGCTTGGTCAACCCATTGTGTTGTTATTGTGTCTGTCATTGAATTATAAATTGAATCTTTATCTGTAATAACTCTCTCTGTCTGAAATTTTTTGAAACAAAAACATTCCTAATGGAAACGAAGGTTGTAATTAGGTTGTAATTATTCATATTTGAAATGAACTGTTGCAAACACAGCAGTTCAAGCACATTAAAATAATTCAAGTTTTGAGTTTATTAGCCAAGTTTAAGTTGAATAAAAAATTTTCATTATTAAATATCAATATCATTTATATATCATTTTATATATTAAACATTTTCATTAGATCAACTAGATATGTTTTTAGTAAATTGTACTCTAGCGTATTTGTCAAGGTGCCCTGTTTTTATTCATTATAAAAAGAATTTACTAATATTTAACTTAAATCTTTTTTTTTTGTGTGTTTAAATTTTCCCATCAATTTGAATTTTTATGATTTGTGACTTTTCTATTATAAATTCAGTTGAAAAAATTGACAAATCTTCCATGGTCTAAAAATATAATTTTAATTTTAATAATACTTTAATAATAAATATTTCTCTCTGTAGAAATATGTCAAATTGATTTTTAAAACTGTAACTGTTTTCATGCTTAAAACACTTTTATTTATGTAGTTTTTTTCCTAGACCATCGATGCTTTGGACTCTTTTCCCATTTTCATGCTTTCCTGAATAACTAGCAGTAAGCAACCCGTAATACGCATTGTTAGTAAATAAAATTAAAAAAAAAAAAACGCGTATAGAAAAGCCTAGAAACTACTTTAGAATAGAAAAGCCTAGAAAATGACGTAACTCGACTAATAATAATAATATTAAATTAGCGTATTCATATTATCAGAAGTTTACTGTTTTTTATATCTTCTGTTAAATGTTTTCTTGTTCAAAAACCCTCTCCTTTACTTTCTGTTAACTCCTAACCTAAACAGTGGTCTCTTTTAGTCTTGTAAGGAATAAATTTGTTACAAAATTTTTTTTACTCTGTCATTTGGAAGGGAGTTTTATATGTTGAATACTTGTAAATTAAAAACTTTTTTTTACTCTGTCATTTGGAAGAGAGTTTTATATGTTGAATACTTTTAAATTAAAAACTTTTTTACTCTGTCATTTGGAAGAGAGTTTTATATGTTGAATACTTGTAAATTAAAAACTTTGACATTTATATTAATCATGAAAACAAAATTTATAATAATTATAAAATTTATAAAATTTATAATAAAACATTTTGCAAACGATATGCAAAATGTTTGTTTATGTTATTTATAACATATATATTTTTTTTAATAGCATAATTTGTTTTAACTTTATAAACTTAATTCTTACAAAAAAATCGTCTTCTTTATATTGTGTGTTTTCTCATTTATTATATTGTGTTTTTTCATTCATTATACTGTGTGTTTTTTCATTTATTATATTGTATTTTTCATTCATTATATTATTTGTTTTTAGCTCTGGCTCTAAAGAAACACCATCTCATAAGTTTTATGACTTTCGTTTTAAAACCTATGCTCCTGTTGCATTTCGGTAAGAAATTTGGTTTTTGAAATCATTATTACTTAAAGCTATTCTAATTATTTTCATTTGTAATAAATTTATTTCTAATTATACTATATTAATAATCATTGTTTATCTATATCTCGTACTTATTGGATGATATTAAGATATCTGAATCATCTGATAATATTAAGATGTATATATTCTAATGAATAGTATTTATTTACTAATTATAATTGTTGTCACATAATGTTTAATGATGTTATTATAGTTGTTTTATCTTAGAGTATTCTTCAAGAAAATTTACAACAAAAAAAAAAAAGAAAAAAAAAATTATTTTCTTTAGTATCTATATCAATTTTAGTGATTAGTAAAATTACTTTTTGTATTAAAACTGATTTTAGATTACTTTTTGTATTAACATGGAAAGTTAGCGAATACACACCAAGTTATAAAAAAACAATACTCAATTGTGTTTAATTGCATTACAATACATAACCAGTATATTATTCCAGAAAAAGAAAAGTTTATAAATCTAATGTTACTGACATTAAAAAGTAAAAAATATTTAGTTATAAGCTCATTCTAATCATTTCTACCCATTATTTCCTACTCAAAAGTCATCTGACATTTTTTTATTTTCTACACAAAAGCCATCTGACAGGTAAAAAAAATGTTTTTATTTTGTACTCAAAAGCCACATGACAGGTAAAAAAAATGCTTTTATTTCGTAAAAAACATGAGTTTCCGGTGTAATCAATTTTTATGTTTTGTTTTTGAAAATAACAAAAACCTTGTTACTAAGTGTTTCCATTTGTTTATTTTACTGTTTTTCTTCTCATTTAGATATTTCAGAGACTTGTTTGGTATTCAACCTAGTGACTTTCTTGTATGTTTTATTACAAAAGTTTTTATTAAAAATTTAAGTCTTAAAATTCAATATTTTTATTTACAGAACATATGTTTAAATGTATTTGTAACTTCAAAGATAAACTATTGGGTTTGGTAAAAAGTAATTTGTATTTAAACAGTAAATTTTTTTCACTAAAAAGAGTTATTTTAATTTAGTTGCTATTTCCATATATACGTTCTTTTGAGAACTTATGTATCTTTGTATGATTTTAACCTTAATTTGTTTGGATATTATAATAATAGTTTCTTTGCAAACTTGTTAATATGGAGCAAAATCAGAATAGTTTGATGTTGTTTTATTTCCGTTTGATATTTGTTGATGTAAGAATACTTTGATGTTGTTTATTCCGTTTGATATTTGTGTTGTTTTATTTCCAAGAAAGAAAAAAAAAAGCATTGTAAGACAAAAGAACAATATGTGCAATTTATGGGGAAAATGCCAAAAGCAAGTGCATGAATTGGTTTGAAAAATTTTGTTCTGTCAATTACATCACATGAAGGAGCACTCAGGTAGATATTGATAGTTGATAAAGATTATCTGAAGACAATGATTAAAATAACCAGCATCTTACAACTCGAGAGTTGAGAGAGATGATCTCAAAAAATCATGGTAAATAATTTGTGTAGATTAGGATACCGCTATCATTACGAGATATGGATTTCACATAAATTGAGTGAGAGAAACATAATGGATCAAAACTTTATCTGTGATTCCACATAAATTGAATGAGGGAAACATAATGGAATCTCTATCTGTGATTCACTGCTTAAACACATTAACATTGTCTTTTTTTTAAAATGCATGATAATTGGTGATAAAAATTGGATAGTTTATGATAATGTAAAGCGTAAAAGATTTTATGAAAAACGACAGTCACAACACCCCCTCCCCCCCTCTGGAGTTTTAAAGGTATTATTTACTATGAGCTTATTTTGCAAAATTGAACAATTAATTTGAAATAATACTGTGTTCAACTTGATTGCCTAAAAGCAGCAATTTATGAAAAATAACCCGAATTGGCTAATTGTTAATAAGTCATAATTTATTGGTAACGCTCGCTCATGTATCTTTTACAACCCATAAACAAATTGTTAGAATTCAGGTGGGATGTTTTACCTCTCCTGCCCTATTACCATCTGATTTCTAATTGTTTAGATTCTTAATGCTTAATGGAAAAAAATTGTTTCTTTAAATGCATGGAAAATGCACCTTGTGCAGTTTTTCGCTCAGAAGACTGGAAAATTCTGGGAGTATGGCAATTTGAATTTTACCTAAAAATACACAGTTACTTTTTACTCAAGCCAATAAAGTAATAACATGGTTATAGGGGTTACCAGGGTTTTGCAAAACCTTAAATAGCTTTAAAGGTCAAGCAGCTTTTGTTTATAGAAAATTTTTTATTGTAGTTGTTTATTAAAAATGTTTGAGAAAATTAAAAGTATTACAGGCTTTAGCAAGAATGGCATGCTATAGTTCGCTCCTGCCTCCACACTTGTGTAAGTCAGTTTACACTGGCAAAATAAAGCCAGCGCAAAATGTTTTGGTAAAAAAAGTTTTATTATTCTATAAACTTCTTACGAAGATTTAGTTACAATATTGATGGCAAACTTCAGGTTTAAATTTTTTTCTTTATTATATTAAAAAATGAAAAAAATTATTTAAGCATATAAAAAATATTTTACTTCATTATTATGTAATATTATGATACAAAAAATAAAAAAATTAAATCAAACAGTAAAACTGAATATTTATTTATTCAAGTTTTAATTACGAAAGTCTTTTTAAACCATTTGTTGCTCTCCAACTTGTTATTTTATAAATGTCAATATAAATGTTTTTGGAAATGTCAAATATTATCATCAAATCATAACATTTTTAATTTCTCAAAAAAGCTTGCGTAGCCCGCCAAGTTCATTTTAAAAAGGCAATTTGTTGCTCATGCACTCATTTATTCTTGCTGAAGCCTGGTAATACCCAGGGTTACATAACAATAAAGTTTACAACATTTTGCAAACTGCTTTTAGTTATTTTGACATTCTTGATCTATTAGGTTGACATTTGAAGCATTTTTTCAGTGCATACATATTTTAATGTTTTTTTTTTTTGATTGACTACTTAAAACATTATAAGGTTTTATAATTTTTTAAAATAATATATATGTTAACTCATAAAATAAATTATTTTAAATATATATTTATTGGTTGTATTTATAAAAGTAACGAGGGGCTAATCCAAACAAAAACATTTTTTTAAGATTTGTAAGTTTTTACTCTTATTTTTTTCTTGCTTTTGCAAAAATATTTTCTTTTTTTTTTTACATATCTTATTTTTTCTTGCTTTTGCAAAAATATTTCTTTTTTTTTTTTTTACATATGTATATGTCAAGTAAATGTTTCAAGCATTTTGTAAAATTTTCATAAATATACTTAAAATTTTTTTTTTAGCAAGTTTATAATTTTAATTTTTTGAAACCGCTTCTTCTTTTCTAGGAATTAAGTCAACTTTTTTAGTGAGAACTTCACCACATTCTGCTTGTACTCATTTTCTTCCTCTTTTTTTTAATTGCTTGTTGCTGTTAGAGTGTCTTTAGAAGGAATTGGCGACAGCACTTTTAAAATAGCAGCTTGAAGTTCATGATGAGGAGAGTCATTCTTATGCTCCCTCGTCACCAACACTTTTTTGCCAGCTTTTGATGGATCTAATGGATATAGACCTGAGGCTCTAAAACCACATTTTACATTTTTTTCTACTTACTTTTAGCCTAGTTGGTAAATTTGTAAAAATAGCTTGTCGACCAACGTAAGGCAAGATTTTTGAAAGAAATTGCACAAAATGTCTCTCCAAATTTACTTCATTATTCATTTGTTGAAAAAACCAACGTCTAAAGGTTGTAAAGCGTGAATTCTTTTCAGGGGAAAGCAAATAAGTGCAATCTAAATTACAGAAAGTTATCAATAAGTTTAAATAAAACTAAATTAGAAAAATGTTGTTAGGTTTAAGATAAAACTGCTTAAATTGTTGGGTTTTGCGTATGATGCAACAATATATATATAAAATGGCTGCCATGACCATCCATAAATCATATACACAGGGCTCAAATTAAGTGATTGCGAATTTCAATATCTTGAAATATTTCTGGTCATTAAATTCTTAGTTTATTATAAATATTAAACACTGTTTAAATAAAATGATCAATTTATTATATTGCAAAAATTAATGAAAAAACAAAATAAATAACTACTGCAAAAATAATAACAGTCAAAACTTACATATTTTTAATTATTGTTTTTTTAAACACCGGGTAATTTAGGGAATAAAAAAAAAAAAAAAGTTGTAAGACAAAAATTATTATTACTAGTCCAAAAAAACTTTTTTGTAATTTAAAAATCAACCAATAAAAAATTAGGCTAAAATTTGCGCATTGTATGAAACAATAATATTGATTTTTGTTTATGGGGAAAGTTTAAGGAATTTAATCATTTTCAATTAGAAATTAATTATTTAATAATAAAAATAATAATAATAAATATATATTTTAAAATAAGTTATTAGAATTTATTTGTTTTGTTTTAAAATAACTAAAAAAAGTTTAAATTAGTTTTTCATTATTTTTAAACTCCTCTGTCTTTTAATTTATTATACATATCAGCAAAAGAGTTATGAGCCTTTAATTTATAAAAAATATTGAATAAGATTTAAATAAGATATAAAAGTATATTTATATCTTAAAATTATATCGTACCTTATTGCGCTTTGTTTTTCTAGTTTTATCCGTTGTTTTATAAATGAATTAAAATAAGTTTAAATCATAATCTTTAATAATAATAATAAATAATATTAGTAATAATAATAAATGGTTTTAATAATAATGATAATATGGTTTTTAAATAATAATATGGTTTTACAATAAGATCATAATTCAAGATCAGCATAAATATTTTTATTGAATTACAGCTATTGAGTTTAGTGATCAAAACAGTTTTATGATTTTTAAAAAACGAAAATATGTAGGCCGGCAGTATTTCCAGGTATTGCAATTTGCGATCACTTAATTTGAGCCCTGATACACATATTTTCCAAGTTGGCTTTTGTAAGAAATAAAGACCTTAATTATTAAAAAAAAAAAAATTTAACCTATCTACAAAATTGAAATGGTAATAAATGGTAATAAATGGTAAAATAATAAACTAAAGTTTTTTGCTGAAAAGGTCTTACTAGCAGACTTACTTTGATAAACCAATATCCAAAGACATATACTTCTATCCACCCTGACTCAGATACAGCATATGGGGTGTCATTATAATCTCGTATGCACCAAATGTTGTGAAGAAAGTTTTATTAACTACAAAAAGTTGCATAAGAAAACCAGTAACATTTCTACATAATAATACCAAGAACATAGTTTTAATAGCGAGAACATAGTTTTAATACTGAGAACATAATTTTAATATCGAGAACATAGTTTTAATACTGAGAACATAGTTTGCCACAAGAAGCATTTAAGTTGGGAGTGAAATGCATGTCACGTTTAAAAAAATATTGTTTATTTCATTTACTGGTAGAAAATCCGGCTTTATCCAGATTATAACATTGATCAGGATTATTATGTAAATCATGCATAGTAATCCTGACCAATGCAGCTGCACCTGCTTGAACTTCTGCTATGACTAACTGAATATCTTCAGAAGTATATGAGGTAGATGGTTTTTTTATTTTTTTTATAATGACAAACCATTAAAACTGAAGAAATTCAGAAAAAAAAAAAATCATATAAAGTGCATATTTAAGCACAATCAATCCCTGTCAATCAATCACTGTCAATCTATCACCACAGTATAAATTACAGTATAAAAGTAAAATAAAGAAACCAAGTAAAACAATATCTGTAAAAACTTAATTTAAGAAAATTATTTGGTTAACTTGTCTTCTTCTCAACAACAGGAATGAATCCTGTTGTTGAGAAGAAGACAAGTTAAAAAAAGTTATTTCAGTAGAAACCATAATCGAAACGAAAACCATAATCATTATGTTATAACGTGAATGAGGTTTATTTAACTTAATTAATTACTTATAACTTTACTTATAACTTAGTAAATAAATGCTAATGTATAGGTATACGGACCAACTCAAGTAATGTTTGGATTAGCCTCGAAAATGTTTCGATTAGCCCCATTTTTTCATTGTCGAAATTCCGGTGGAATAGTTTCCAGTACGAAATCTGATATTAAAAGCTCTCTTTGTAATATGTAATAAACATTTTTTTAAAAGAACAAGTCTAATCAGATTTTGATACTTATTTTTTGGAGAATACATAGGTTAGAAAAATCAAACTGTTCGGATTAGTACCGTGTTCGGATTATCCCCAGGACTATCCTATTTGATTAATAAATAAAAAATCATCAATTAATAATTGGTTCTGACTTGAAATTCATTAATATTTATGGATTAACTATATCTAATTGCTCTACATAACCATTTATATTTGCGTTATTTTTTTTAATTTATTTTTATTTTTTATTTATGCATTAGTTATTATTTTACATTTATGCAATAGTTATTATTTTTTATTTATGCATTAGTTATTATTATTTATTTATGCATCAGTATTTGTGTTGTTAAAATATAATTTGTTTAGTTTGTAAAAAAACTGCTCCAAAGCAATTTATATAGCTTATTGATATTGATAAGTTATTTATTGTAAGTATGTAAAGTTAATATAACTTATAGCAATTTAAAAATAACTAGTTATGTAAAGTCTCTACTAAAAAAAAAAAGGAAAGGATTTTATTGGTATAGAAGTAAAAAATTGTTCTTTTAAGTTTTGACATTAATTATTAACCTAATTAATAAAGTTTTCAAAAAGAAACTCTTGTTGCCATTTAGATTATAATCCTACTCAGTTTCTGAATACACCTACTAATTTCTGACTATATTCTGACTATGTGTAATTCCCACTTGCAAAAATAGATTCATTAATTCTCATGCAAAAAATAATAAGCCAAGTGATTTTAATCTTATTTATTTTAGCTTTCTCTTGCTAATGAGCCAATTAAGGAGATATCTAATCCTGGAGCAAGTGGTTCTTTATTTTTTGTGTCCAACGATGATATGTTTATTGTAAAAACTGTTACTCATAAAGAAGCTACTTTCTTACAACAGCTTTTACCTGGATATTACATGGTAATAAGAAGACAATTCCTGAATAATAATTATATTTATAATTGTAATTTATAATTAAATTTAAATTACATTTTGTGTGTTTATTATTTTTATGTTGTTTATTGTTTTGTTTTTCTTTCCACTTTATTAATTTAGAACCTACATCAAAATGCACGTACACTTTTACCAAAGTTTTTTGGGTTATACTGCTATCAGGTCATTGATTGAATCCACACAATTTAATACATTTTACTTTTATATATACAGTAGAATCTTGTTAACTCGGACTCTGAACAGGTACATATATTTTGTCCGACTTAGTGAATGTCTGTTTTAAGCAAAGCTCTCGTTATGTTGGACTTTCAGGAAATTTTTGATCATGATTTTCCTTTGTTGAATTTATAGCTATGTGTATTTTTATGTTATAGTTCTACTTGTTAGCTTTCTTTTAGCAACCTTCGACATTTTTAATAAACAAAATTTAATCAAAATTAACCGGATCAAAGATATCAGTGAAAATGTTTAGTTTGTTAACTTTTATTTTACGCAAAGGTATTTTAGCATTTAATTGTTCTAAGTTTTGAATTTTATTTGATGTTTTTGAATTTTTAATATAATAGTCATTAATACATAGAATTTAATCAAAGCTTTACCAAATCAAAAATATCAGTGAAACATTTAATTATGTTAATTAAATTTGATGCGAAGGTTTTTTTTTTTTTGAGTGTTCAAAGTTTAGAATTTTTATTGAAGTAAGTTTTGTAATTAAAGGAACTTTCAAAATAAAAGTTCTAGTTATGCAAAGTTTTTTGGTGAAGGGACCCTAAAAAAACAGTACAAGTTAGTGAATGGCCCGACTTGTACAACGAGGACGAATTGTAGGACTTGAATGGATGATTTTATAGTAAGTTGATAGAAAAAGTTCCAGGGGAATGAAAAATTTGTCTGACTTATCGAGGTTATCGGGATTCTACTGTATATATATTTTTTATTAATTAGTATCAAAACACAAAAAGTTTTAGTTAAAAATGTTTATATACTAATAAAAAAATATGATACTTATATAATAGGATTTTTTTTTTCTTCCTAAAACATTAGGCACAACATTAAGACAATAATATAAAATTATTAAAAATAATGAAAAATAATAAACATTTCACTTTTCATTCTAGTCTGGAAGTTCTAATATAAGATTGACTGTTATGAATAATTTGCTTCCTTCAAAGTATAAATGTCATATGAAATTTGATCTTAAGGTCAGTATTACTGTATAATCACTCAACTTTATTCAAAATTCATTTGATTTTATTTAAATATTTATTTAAATTATATATATATATATATATATATATATATATATATATATATATATATATATATATATATATATATATATATATATATATATATATATATATATATATATATATAAATATATATATGTATATATATATATATATATATATATATATATATATATATATATATATATATATGTATATATATATATATATATATATATATATATATATATATATATATATATATATATATATATATATATTTACTTTTATATACACATGTTTTTTTAAAAATGGTATGAAAAAAAAATTATATTGTGTATCGAATCCCAACTGTAAAATGCAGTGGTTTGGGAAAGTTTTCTGTGATTTAACTACATAAGGAATCAGTCTGTTAGTTTAGATTAGTGAAAATATAAACACAATAACATTGCTGTTATATAGGAGACGTACATACACCCACACACATATATGTATATATATCATATAAAACAGTTGAAATAAATTCCAATTAATGTTAAAGATCAATCTTCTCTTTTAATAACTATTTATTGATCTTTAGGTCAATCAATAGTTGTAATTATGTTGATGAGGATGTTAATAATTAAAGTTGATGAGGACCAATGTTAATAATTAAAGTTGATGAGGACCAATGTCAATAAAGAAGCGAATTAAAAGTAGCTAATTAAAAGAATTAAATTAAGTTTTTTAGAAAAAAAATATCTTGGTGCAACTTTTATTACAATTAGTGTAAAGAAAAAATTTTGTAAATTTTTAGTGCAAATAAAAAAAGAAATTGGGAAGAAAATTACAACAATGATTCAAAAAATGCAAAAAATGCAAAAAAGTCTTGTAGGTTTTAGCTTAGCAAAAATAATTTTAAAATCGTTTATGACTTTGAAAAAGAATAACGCCAATGTTTTTATTTTTTAAAAACATTTTAAAAGAACTTGGAATTCTTTTAATGACACTTTTTGTCTGTATTTAATCTCTGAATTTCTTAAATTTTAAAGTTCCGGTAAGGAACTTTAAATTTTAAGAAATTCCTAAAAAGGCTGCACAGTTTAGAATCAAAGTTTCGTTATTTTTATCTGAAGCTCTAAAAATGTTTAGCAATATCTGAAACCCACAGAGAAAATGTACAGGAATTTATGGTTCTAGAGTTCTATTTTTTCTGTACCTGAAGTTCTAATGTATTATAGGAAACAGCAACTCCAAGGCTAAATTATTGACTTCAGGACTGTACTTGAGACTTTTTTTCTCAGTATGAACCTTTTCTCTTAATGAACTTAGTTACAATGTTACTTAGTTACAATGTTACATGGAGCTTTAAAATCAAACCCAAGTAAAAATAAAGAATCATTAAGTCAAAACCCTTCTAAATTATTTCCTATAGTTTTTTTTTAATTTATTTTGTTTTTTAAAAATTTAATTAAACTGTTTATATACTGCAATTTTTATTAGTAAATTTGGTTGATGGATTTAATTGATTTTTATTGTTGATTGTTATTGCTGATTGTTATTGCTGTAATGGCGGTCTTAGATAATTGGAGGCCCTAGGTAAAGTTAGCTTTGTGGTTCAAATAATGACATTAAAAAAACAAACTCTCGCCAAGCGCAAGATGCACATCAAGGGAAAAAATGGTCCAAGTAGGAATGCTGGGGGGAGGCTCATCCCCTGGTTTGCCAGAAGCAAAACATTCCAGAAATCTAACAAAAAAGTTATTAATTTAGTTGTGATTCTTAATACATTGTACATATGCATTGTAAGTCTAAGGTTTTGTGGAAATTTCACAGTTTTTCACAATGGCAAATTTCACACTCATGTAGATTTCATATACATTCAAAAAAATCAACTTTTCCTACTTTGATGGCATCAAAGACTTGAATTAGTTGTAAATAATGCAAAGGCTGGTCGATATTTTGGTTGATAGATATCGTTGCCAAACTGTTCCTGCCTCATATTTATTAAATAAATTTTGAATAATTTTAACTTGGAAATACTCCTTTCACCTGATGCAATAGTGATCGGAATTATCAAACCTATACAAAGGGCTATAATGACGTTTGGAATAGCAGTATTCAAACCACCATTATTAGTAAAACATAAAGCATCAAGAGAAGAGAAAACACTATCTGGAAAAATTTTGAAAAATATTTACAATTTATTGCATAAATCTTTCAGATCAATATTTGAACCAGATATATCTATGAGCATAATATTTAAATCCTCACAAAATATCAAATCATTAAAGGGATCCCAAACTCCCAACACATGTTGTGTTCATATTAAAGATAATGTTAAAAAAATAGGTTTAAACCAAATTTTTTTGATTAAAAATAAATAATGAATGCATACTGAGAAAAACTAATGTTGTTGTTTTAGCTGAAGCTCGCTTTCTCCATTTTTTTCAATAACTCTGAGTTTTCAAATTAAACGTCGCAATCTACAGACTTTGGTGATTCCTTTGAAGCGCATTTAATTCATAAAAGTTTTAGTATTTGACGTCACGTTAGACTTTTAACAAATGAAACTCTGGACATAAAATTTATTTGATTATTTATTTAGTTTTTTTTTTCTATTTTTAACATTTAAAAAGATATTAAAAACATCAAACATTTTATGCTGGTTTGTTGCTATAAATTGTTAATGCACCATATATTTAATGTTTATAAATTATGAATATTTATTATCTTAATCAAGACTCTGATAAAAAATTGTTTTACATTAATTACCCGTATAAAATTAGTAACAGCATTTTTATTTGGTTAGATGATATTTCATTTCAATTTGCTTTGCATGAAGTTCAGAAAGTCAAACGAAAAAAATTAGTTTGAATAATCACGTCAAAATATGTTTAAAACAAATTATTTTAATGACGGGGGTTCTAAAGTTTTTTATAACAAATGTAGGTAAAAAATAAATAACTAAATAAAAAGTTCAACATTAAACATTTCTTTATTATATTGCAACTGTAAATATTGAAATATTAACTTGAACTAAATTTACTTATTATTTAGAACGACTAAGCAATAAAAATAAAATGCCCCTAAAATTATGCGATATTGTGTTGTTTATTTGATAATTGTTGTTGATAATGTTGATTATTTTCATTAATATCAAAATAGTCCCAGATTAATCTGTTAGTTGCTTTGCTCATTGTTGATTTATTTCTAATTTAATTTTATCTCAACGTATAATTTTATGTTAAAAAAGAAATTTATTTCATTGCGCGCTCTTTTTATAAAAGAGTAGAACAAAAGAAAAAGAAAAAAAAAAGTTTCACTTAGTTAAGCATTGAATGAATAAGAGTTGTATAGAATATATATATATTTTTTGCGTCACTTATTCTTTTTTTAGATAAGAGAAATAAAAGTTTAATTACATTTAATTAATAACATTTTCTTTGAATAAATGAGAATTGGAAGAGAACATTGCTTGAAAATTTGTATTTGTTAATTGTGTTTTTAAAAATATTTAATTTTTCATGTTAAGAGACAAATGCCAAATACGACACAAATTGGGAAATACCAAATATAATATGTTTTTTAATGTGCGTTCTGACATTTTGAAAATTTAAATTACCATCTATCTTGAATTATTGCCATTAATTAATGTGTTAATTATTGCGTTATTTAATAATAATTTGTCCGTATTCTTGTTAAATATTAGTTGTATAAAATGGGCAAAAATATACAAACTTCATGTTTTTAATTTGATGGTTATAAAATATCGAACAGTAAACTTATAATCAAAATTTATAATGCCGACTTGTGTTGCTATTAATTGCACTTTTAATGCAAAACCAGGATCTCACATATCCTTTCACGAATTTTCATATCTGATACTACTGTCAACTGTATTGTTTAGTGTATTCTTGTACTTTTTTTTCATAACCTTCAACGAGCTTCGGCTAAAACAACAACATTAGTTTTTCTCAGTATGCATTCATTATTTATTTTTAATCAAAAAAACTTGGTTTAAACCTTTTTTTTTTAACATTATCTTTAATATGAACACAACATGTGTTGGGAATTTGGGATCCCTTTAAATGGTGTAATCCAAAGAGGATTAAGTGGCGTTCCATTTGCTTGAAATGTGTAGTTAACAAAGTAATTGCTTGATCTAGCAAAACATTATAAAATTCAACTCAATATTTTTCTTTTGGATCTGTCAATGATTTGCCTATGCTTTCATAGTCAAATCAAAAATGTACGCTTTCTTCTTAAGCTTATCACGGCTAGAAATTTGATTTCTTCTAGCACCATTTCTAATTCTTGACCCAGTTCTCAATAACTATCGATAGTGTGAAAGCTATTTGATATTAAATAGCTTTTACACTATCGATTCTAAATTCTCAGTATGCATTGGAGTTTTACTGTCAGATTTTGTACATGAGTTTTAAAGGGATCCCAAACTCCCAACACATGTTGTGTTCATATTAAAGATAATATTAAAAAAAAAGGTTTGAACCAAATTTTTTTGATTAAAAATAAATAATGAATGTATACCGTGAAAAACAAATGTTGTTGTTTTTGCCGAAGCTCGTCTTCTCCATTTTTTTCAACTAATCGGAGTCTTCAAATTATGCGTCGCAATCTACAGACTTTGGCAATTCCTTTGAAGCGCGTTTAATTCATAAAAGTTTTAGTATTTGACGTCACGGTAGACTTTTAATAAATTAAACTCTAGAAATATTTTTATTTATTTTTAGTCGAAGTTTTTTTGATTATTTGTTTAGTTTTTTTTTTTTTCTACTTTTAATATTTAAAAAGATATTAAAAACCTTAAATATTTTATGCTGGTTCGTTGCTATAAATTGTTATTGCGCCATATATTTAATGTTTATAAATTATGAATATTTCTCTATGAATTATCTCTCTCTATATGAGAGATCTTTTATCTTTTATCAATTATCTCTCTCTATATGAAATATCTCTCTCTATATATCTTTCTATATGAATTATCTCAAAAATTGTTTTACATTAATTACCCGTATAAAATTAGTAACAGCTTTTTTATTTGGTTAGACGATATTTCGTTTCAATTTGCTTTGCATGAAGTTCGGAAAGTCAAACCAAAAAAATTAGTTTGAATATTCACGTAAATCAATATATATTTAAAACAAATTGTTTTAATGACGGGGGTTCTAAAGTTTTTTATAACAAATGTAGGTAAAAAAATAAATAACTAAATAAAAAGTTCAGTATTAAACACCATTTCTTTATTATATTGCAACTGTAAATATTGAATTATTAACTTGAACTAAATTTACTTATTATTTAGAACGACTAAGCAATAAAAATAAAATGCCCCTAAAATTATTTGAGATTGTGTTGTTTATTTGATAATTGTTGTTGGCAATGTTGTTTATGTTGATTATTTTCATAAATATCAAAATAGTTCCAGATTAACCGGTTCGTTGCTTTGCTCATTGTTGATTTATTTCTAATTTAATTTTATCTCAAACTATAATTATATGTTAAAAAAGAAAAGTTTTTATTTCATCGGGCGCTCTTTTTATAAAAGAGTAGAACAAAAGAGAAAGAAAAGCAATTAAACTTTGAATGAGTAAGAGTTGTATAGAATATATATATTTTTTTGCTTCACTCATTCTTTTTTTAGATGAGAGAAATAAAAGTTTAATAATAAATTTTCTTTGAATAAGTGAGAATTGGAAGAGAAAATTGCTTGAAAATTTGTATTTGTTAATTGTGTTTTTAAAATTTTTTTAATTTTTCATGTTAAAAGATAAATACCAATTACGACACAAATTTGGAAATACCAAATATAATATGTTTTTTAATTCGCGTTATGACATTTTAACAATCTAAATTACCATCTATCTTGAATTATTGCCTTTAATTAATGTGTTAATTATTGCGTTATTTAATAATAATTTGTCCGTATTTTTATTAAATATTAGTTGTATAAAACGGGCGAAAATATACAAACTTTATGTTTTTTATTTGATGGTTATAAAATATTGAACAGTAAACTTATAATCAAAATTTCTAATGCCGACTTGTGTTGCAATTAATTGTACTTTTAATGCAAAATCAGGATCTCACAAATCCTTTCACGAATTTTCATATCTGATACTACTGTCAACTGTATTGTTTAGTGTATTCTTGCACTTTTTTTTCATAATCTCAACAGGTTCTAATTGGTATAGAGTTGCTGACACTTTGAAAATTTCATTATCAAAAATCAAATGTAAAATAAAATGGTATTTCCTTTTTATCCGTATCCAATTCAGCAAATTTAGCAATTTAAATTAAATCAGCGTGATCAAAAAAATTTTATAATAAAAAAAGTTAACAATTCATTAAATATCTCTAATTAATACTGTCAGTTTATGAAAGTAATTGTTAATAAATACTTTTTTTTGACGGGAAAACAAAAAATTGTCATAGCGTAAAAATAACCAGAGAAGTTAGAAAATAGTTCCCTTTGTTTAAATAAAAATAATTAAGAATCAGAATATATAATACTGCGCTCTCTTGCACAAAAACAAGAGACCGTATATAAAACGTTCTATATAAAGTAAAATACTCGTATGAAAATCATGAGATTGGTAAGTAAAGCTTTAATATTTGTTTTAATTAAAATAATTAAAGAAATATAAGTAAGATATATAAATCTAAAAATTATTAAGATATCTTTAAAAAATAAGTTGCTCCTATAAAATAAAAATAATTTATTGTTTTTACTTTTTACAAAATTTTTTTTGCGATGTTTGGAAAAATAATGCAAATAAATTTCTTTTGCTGTATGTTAAAAAAATACTACAGTAGAAAAACGCAGCTTAGTTTAATTACACTTTTCTTTTGTTAAAAGTCTACCGTGACGTCAAATACTAAAACTTTTATGAATTAAACGCGCTTCAAAGGAATTGCCAAAGTCTGTAGATTGCGAAGCATAATTTGAAGACTCCAATTAGTTGAAAAAAATGGAGAAGACGAGCTTCGGCAAAAACAACAACATTTGTTTTTCACGGTATGCATTCATTATTTATTTTTAATCAAAAAAATTTGGTTCAAACCTTTTTTTTTAACATTATCTTTAATATGAACACAACATGTGTTGGGAGTTTGGGATCCCTTTAAAGATCTGTCATTGCTGTTTTGAAGCATCAAACAAAAGATAAATTTGATGCAAAGTTTCAAAAAATGTCATTATAACGGCTGAAGATTTCCCTATGTATCAAAGAATTACATTGAGGCTGTGAAAATCACATGGCTAAAGTCATAATGAATTTAGATTGAATTGAAGCATACATTTTTGTACACCGCAACTGTAGCCTTTCATATTTACTCTGCTATCATAACCTAGACCTTTGCAGTTTTGTAAGTTTAAATTCAAACCTTCACACTTTTGTAAACTTTTTTCTACACTTTTGTTTTCTGTAAGATTATAACAAGAACTGGAATCCCACAAAATATTGATTGATTTCGGCTGGTCTTTGCCCAATATTGCTTATTCGCAAAATCATAGTCGTTTGCTCTTGGTGACTAGCATTAGGTGTGCAATCCACAATGATGGTAAATGATGGTCAGCTAAAATGAAATAAAATGAAATGATTTCAAATGTTTTATGAACAGTAATACTTAGTGCTCTATCAGTCATCTAGTCTTTGTCTTTAAGGATTAACTCCTACTTCCGATCTTTCTTGGAAATTATATATCAAATCCATTGCAAAATTAGTATCTGTTAAGGTTGCATCTCTTTATCGTGTTTGCCACTTTCTTACTTTGATTTCTATTCTTTATCTCTATAAATCTGAAATCGTTCTTTGTATGGAATACTGTTGCCTTATCTATAGATGATTTTTAAACAATGCCCTTTCTCTTTTAGACTAGGTGAAAAAAGGCGTTGTAAACATAGTTGGACCAGCTCTTGCAGCCAACTTTCAACCACTGTCACATAGTCGTAATGTTGCTTCTTTTTCTCTTTTCTATAAATATTATAACTTCTACAGATATCTATTAAAAATCATTCTTGTGTTATATATATATATATATATATATATATATATATATATATATATATATATATATATATATATATATATATATATATATATATATATATATATATATATATATAAAATAATCTACAAAATTTAGGGAATCTTTAAAACCTTTAAAACTTTTATGCACAAGAGAGCCCCCACCAATTGGAGATTAATTTATAGACGACCCTCTAGACTGCTGCTAGTTCTGATTGTTATTGCTGATTATTATTGTTAGTTGTAATTTTTGATTGTAATTGCTGATTATTTTTGCTGATTTAAGCATGATTTTAGTTAGGTAAATAGAATTTTTTTTCTCCCAGCAGATTATTTTCTATAAGAAGCTATTAATAACGTTTTTAAACTGTAAAATTTTTTACTACCTACTGAAAAAATTATGATATTGTTTCAAAATGTTCTCAACAAGTTTTTTCTTTTTCTTATAAACATTGCCTTGATTAGTCAAGTTTTAGGTGACTTCCAATAATTTAAATTTAGTCATTTCCTAAGAATCTTGATAAGAGAAGTTTAAGGTGACCCCTAAAGAATCTAGTAGTGTTTACTTATAGTAAATAATCACTTTTAGTAGTGGTTACCTACTGCTAATAGTGGCTACTTATTATGCTAATAGTGGCTACTTATTTGGAAGCAATGATAAAAAAAAAAAAAAAAAAAAGCTACCTACTGTCAATAATAGTTTAACTGAGTAGAAGTTGTTATATTTGCAGGGTTCAACATACAAAAGGAAAGCAAATAAATTAGAAAAAGCAAAGAAAAGTCCAACTTACAAAGATCTAGATTTTTTAACAATGTTTCCAAATGGAATTCCTTTAGATGCTGACACCTATGATGCTGTTGTCAAAACAATCAGTAGAGATGTTAGGGTAAATTTGAAGAGTTACAATTTGTATAATAATTATTTTTTTTATATTTTTCAATAAAAAATTTTCTTTTTCAGTAAACAATTTTGATTATTTTTATTTTATTTTATCAGTTCTCTGTTAATTCATATTTTAGAAGTTTTTAAAAAGTAGTTTTTTTATCTACAATTATATATTAATACAATTTTTATCATTGATAATTTTATACAGCATAAAACATCATAGATATTAAATTCTGCTTAAAAATGTGAAGGGCAGAAGTTTATTTGTTTAAAAATGTATAAAGAGATTAAAAGGATAATAAATTGTTGTATGTTTATTGCATAGGTTTTAGAAAGCTTTAAAATTATGGATTACAGTTTTCTTCTTGGCATTCACAATGTTCACCAAGCTGAACTTGAGAGAACAGCAGTAATTTTTTTTTATAAAAAAAGTTGTCTTTACTAATTATTTTTTCAAAAATTTTTCACTGGTATTATTAGAAATAATTACAAGTATTTTTTAATTTTACTTTGAAGGATATTGCTACTTCACCTAACCACATGTTGCCGAATCCAGGTAGGAATTTGTTTTATATGTAATTATATAATTTTAATATTTTTTTTGGAAACCTCTGCAAAGATTCTCAGATAAAAAAAGGCACTGACCTAACAAGTAATTTAGTTTTGGTTGCTATTTATTTCTTTAAAATTTTTAAACTCTACCTTTGTATCTAGAAAGAGAAGCAAGACGAAATGAATTTGGGGCTGCTCTTGAAGCTATTCAGATAAGCAAGGATGATAAGGATCCTGATGTTCGACCTTGTCCGTAAGATTTTATCTTTTCATTTTAAAAGTAGTTTAAAATATATGTGAAAAAATAACTTTAATTCGGCAAAACAAAACACAGAAGTTTAAACAATTCAAATATATAGTAGTATAAAAAAATAAAAACCTTGGGTGTTTTAACGAAATTACTACATTAAACTATTTTTAAATTATTATTATTTATAGAGTAGGAGGTATCTGCAAAAATTTATTATTGTTTATAGAGTAGGAGGTATCCCTGCTAAAAATGAAAAAGGGGAGCAGTTAGTTTTGTTTCTTGGAATCATTGATATTTTGCAGAACTATAGGTTAGTTGAATTTTTTGTTTAAAAATATTAAAGCTGATTGAGCTTTAGATTTTTTTTTTTTAGATTTGGCATTTTCAAAATGGTTCAAAATTTAATGTTCTTTTCAATGTTTAATGTTATTTTAACTTAGGTTAGCTAAAAAGATGGAGCACAGTTGGAAATCAATTTTGACTGATGGGGTATTCATTTATTTTCATAAATTGGTCAACCTTTAAAAATTTTTGTTTTTGGGTTTGACCTATGTAAATTTTTGTATAGGCTCTGGGTATGCCATACTCTATACTTTTTGTATAGCCTCTGAGTATATTATATAAATAAGGATAGGTTAAGGCTTTATGTTCTCAGGAAAGTTTTTTACAAGTTTACTATGTACAATAGTAAGAAAATAAATATTATACGCTATGTATAATAATAAGAAATAATAGTAGAAAATATTAGTAAAAGGATTTAATACCAAAAGCAAGTTTGTATCATTGAGTAAAACGAGTGTGGTCAGACCACACTCGTTTTACTCGATGATACAAACTTGCTTTACTCAATAACATGATTTGCTTAGAAAAAGAAATGAACAAGTTGGCAAGATTAAAGTTCAATTTTTACAGCTTTTTTTTTTTTAATTTCTTTTTTTTAACAAATCTGTAAAACTTTCGAAGGATTATGTAAATATTTCAAAAGTTTTAAAAAAAGATGTATTTAAAAAAATCCCATTCTTCTTATTGAAATGCATTAAAACAAATGAAAATTAGCATATGAAATATAAAGTAGATAACAAATATAAAGTTGGACTCAATTAAAAATCACATGCTTTAGTAGTGTAAGAACACTAAATTTTGATTTTTTAACTTTTTTTTTTTAATTTTGTATTTCATGGCTGATAATTGCTGTATAGGCATGAAACTTAAAATTCCATTTAAAAAATACTTTTTTCTTCATTAAAGTGAAATATGTTTAAATTTACTCACAAAAAATTTCAGTACCTTTGAATCAAACTTTCCTTGCCCTCAAAGCTTGCGTGATCAAAAAAAATGACCAAAAACAGCTTAGTTTAAGTGTCTTGAGGGCAAGGCTAGCATAATTATCTTTAATAAATTTTTTTAGGGTTTAGATAAATGTCTGTATTTTTGATTCCAAAGAATGGTGTTTTTCTTTTTTCTCAATAAACAGTATAATTAACATTTTAAATCAGCTAAAAAGTGTTTATTACATTGTGCTGCGTTGTTTTTATAACCTTTTCAACAATTAAATTCAACCATTGTTATAGTTTATAGTATAGTTTGCAAATGTATATATATATTATTTATGTATGTATTAAACATACATAAAATGAGTAATTCTATTCTAATTTTGAATATATACATTTAGAAACTATACTATAAACCTAAATGTTTGAATTTAATTGTTGAAAAGATTATGTAGCAAACGTTTTTTAGCCGATTTAAATTGTAAATTATACTGGTTTTTAAAAAGAAAGAAAAAAACTATACTTTTGTAATCAAAAATACAGATATTTATCTAAGCCCTATAAAAATATTTATTGCTCACAAGACACTTAAACTAAGCTGTTAATGGTCATTTTTGGGTCCTTTTTTTTCCAAATATGTGCTTTGAGGGCATGGAAAGAGAGACTTAATAGTGCTGAAATTTTTTGTAAGTGTTAATATAATTGCTTCAAATCTAAACAGTTTGGTTTTTCAAACTCTAAAAAATTTTTTTTCTGAACACCCCTAATATATATGTGTGTATATATATATATATATGTGTGTGTGTGTATATATATGTGTGTGTATATATATATGTGTATATATATATATATATATATATATATATATATATATATATATATATATATATATATATATATATATATATATATATATATATATATATAAACTACAAATAATATGTAACTAAGCAATTTCCTAATTTATAAGGAATTTCATGCATTTAATTTGAATGCAGTTTTATAATATATTAATATATTATGCAACACTTTGTACCCTTTAGTTCTTAAAATGTGTGCCTTAATTTTACAGAAAACGAAGGAAAAACAAAGAATTATGAAAAAAAAAATTGTTGCCCCAACCCAAACCCTTGGTTGATGTAGGAGCACTCCTTGAATGTTCAAAAAGAAAAAAACAACTTTTTCAATGGAATTTTATGTTTCATGCCTATACAGCAATCATCAGCATATTGAGTAATTATGTTTAAAATTAATTATAAATTGTTTTTAATTTTTGCTAAAAGTTACTTTAATTTTTCTTTTATTTAAAAGATTGCTTACCTATTCTAAAACATTTAGTCAATGTGTGTACACTCTGGTGTACATATGGCGATATCAATAAATCTATGCGTCAATATATCACTCCACTGTGCCTTAGACAAAATCAGTCAACGCATGTAAAGTACATGCATGAAAATAAAAATTAAAAAAATGTAAATTTAAAAAGTCAAAAAAGTATAAATACAAAAAAAACTTTATCAAGAAATGTAAAAGGTCAATAAAGTTGATGTTTTTGAAATTTAATTAAATTCAATGTACTTTCACAAGTAATGTAATGGCTTTAACTTTAGGGTGACATTTAAAATTTGTTTAAAAGTTGAGGTAGCAAAATTTTCAGCATAACCTTTTTTTTTAATACAATTATTAGTTTTTAATTAAAGATTTTTTTAATTTTGTTTTTTTATAGTTTTATATTTTTTACAAATGCGAGGAGTGTTAAGGCAGAGGGTTTGGCTTGGGAAAGCAAATTCTCAATTAAAAAAAATTTTTTTTAAGCATTTTCTGGTTTGGTTAATTAGCATTCAATTTAAAACAATAGTTTTTCGGAGAAACTTTTGGACAACTATGCTAGAGTTTATATGTATGTTTTTGTATATATATATATATATATATATATATATATATATATATATATATATATATATATATATATATATATATATATATATTATATATATATATATATATATATATATATATATATATATATATATATATATATATATATATATATATATATATATATATATATATATATATATATATATATATATATATATATATATATATATATATATATATGGGCAATTCCGTGAGAGAGAGCGGAAAAAAAAAAAAAAAAAAGTTAGGAAAACATATGCTAACCTCAATAAATTCTTTTTTTAACTATTTAAGAATACTTTTAAGCCAAAAAATGATTAAAAAAATCATTTTATCATACCATAGTATTGTTTTAAAGTTGTAAGGATTATATAAACAATTTTTAACGTTTTTATATAATCCTGTTGTGAAGTGTTGAAGAAGTTTAATATGCTGCAATTTTATATAGCTATTACTTTTAAGTTTAACTTTAAAACAATATTAAACATTATGTAGAATATTATTTATAAAAACGTACTCCAACTATGTATAAAAAAAGAATATGTTTATCAAATTAATGCGTTACGACCGTCACGAAAAAAGTCAAGAAGTTTTTTCTAGGCTTGTATCAGACTTTATAAAGCTAAAAGTATAGTTAAAGTAAAGATACTGATATAAGTTTTATCATTGTTTTAATTTTTTTTTAAAAAAGAGCTTCAGATGATAGTGTTAAGATGTAACAAAGTACGTTACGATCATCACGTTATATTTGTTTTTCCATAACGGCTTTATCGCAACTATATAAAAAGTTTCAGCGTAAACGATTTTATTATTGAAACCAAGTTTAAATTATTTACAGTTTGTTTACTTATAATATCGCTAAGCTTATTAAAGTAATTTAGAATAATTTAAAATTAGAAATTATTTCTTTTTTAAAATATGAATCACTTATTTAAAATAATTGATGTAAATAAATTAATATTTGTTGAGAAATAACGTAAAAAAAATTTTTTAACATGAAGAAAATTTTTTTTCGTAAAAACTTTTTTTTATAGTTTGTATTGCAACTTTATTGTTTATTCAATTTTGCAGGTTTTTTAGTTATAAATTTCGCTGTTTTTTTTTTAAATCATAACAGAACGTTAGTCTTAAAAGTTATATTTAATAACATTTTTTAAATGCCTAAATCAGATGCTGAAAGATCAAAAGCTTATTGAGCAAGAAATGGAAAAGCGTTGTTGGAAAAAGAAAGAAAGAAAAGTTATTAAAGAAGACAGTTATCAAAGAACACAAAAGAAATGAAAACAAGCTAAAAAATTAAGTGAAAGTTGGCAACCAAAGCTTTAAAACAATTTTGAAATTGATATTTTTACTTTGAAAGAATTATTTTATAAACTTATGTTGGGAACAGGGAGCATTAACCAGTTAAACTTTAGTAAAGTATTAAAGTATAAATAAATATAGCAGCCTTCCTTTAGTTACCAATTTTAAATTTAACGAACACAGTATTAAAAAACCATAATTGAGAACTTAGATAATGTTATTAAGTTTATAGTTTTACATAGTTTACATGATTTTTATAATTATTCATCTTTTTTTTTTGATTGCGTTGCTTTATTTATTGTTTTTCAAAATTAGATTTTTCATTACGGCCGTCACGGTTACGACCGTCACAACAACAAAAAAACATAGAAATGGTTATAAAGCATCAAGTAAAAACTGTGAAACTCAGCATATAATAACATCAATATGTGCTAAATACACACACCAAATGATTTTTCTTTTACCATGGCGTTCGCTGCAATTAGTCTGACAAAGCTGTTTTGTTCAGAAGTAGTAAAAAGTAAATGTTACGACCATCACACTATGCAAAGTTAATTTTTGAAAAAGTATATAACTTTAATACTGTAACTTTTGCATACTAAATTATGCAATACTATTCCACATTTCTGAAAAGTTTCAAGTCATTTTCATTTTTGGTTCATTTTTAATAGTTTAAATAACGTCAAATGTTACGACCGCCACTCTCGGGGAATTGCCTATATATATGTATATATATATATATATATATATATATATATATATATATATATATATATATATATATATATATATAAATATATATATATATATATATATATATATATATATATTTATATATGTATATATATATATATATATATATATATATATATATATATATATATATATATATATATATATATGTATATATATATATATATATGTATATATATGTATATATATATATATATATATATGTATATATATATATGTATATATATATATATATATATATATATATATATATATATATATATATATATATATATATATATATATATATATATATATATATATATATTAGCCAATTCCATAATTTATTTTTGACAACCAATTATTATGCAGAGTGGCTAATGAGTGGCATAGAGATCATATTTATATGAAAGATTTTTTTATTTTTAAGTATTCGTGTTGATTGTTAGAAGTTACGCTTTTTATGTTTTTTGACTAAATTTAGGGCATTTTCCAAGCATTGGTGCGAATAGATTCTGATGTCAAATCAGAATGATGATGTCAAATTGTTCAACAATGTTTTTTTTATGTGTTCTTGTACCAAAAAAACACTGCTTATTAATTAAAAGAATATGTTGTGCCTATCTTACTCTGAAAGATTAACAAAAAATCAATGTAAAGTGATTTTTTGTTAATCTTTAGGCTTTTTTCTAGTTATACAACAAACTTTATTATTAATTTTTTTATCAAATGATGTTTTCTTTTTTCAAAATACTGTTTACTGGAGCCTTGGATCAACAAATCCAAATCCAAAATGGTTTTGTTGAAAAAATGGGTAAAGGACTTTGAATCTTTTGTTGTAAACTAAACTAGATCAAAACTTATCAATGTGATTCAAATATATATATACACACATTTTTTCTGTGGTTATTTTAGGTGCTCCAAGAAGAACTAATGGTTGCATCACAGAGCACCACAGAAGAGCATTTAATTTGGAAGTTTACGCTTCCTTCGTGTCAAAAAAAAAGCCTAGAATGGGCATCGAACCACAGATCAGTAAAAGATCCAACATTTTTTGATGTTTAAGATATCTATTTAGATGTTTGATAGATAATTGAGATAACAGGCAATGCGCAAACTTGAAACATTTTTATGTTTATACTCATGTCAAATAATGATGGTTTGCAAAGTATTGCGATGATTAGAGGCTGGAAACTAAAAAAGCCCTAAAATTTAATCCCCTCTGCCCCAAATGTGAGAGAAACAAGTTGGTTTAGTAATTTTTTTGAAATTCTTAACTTTGTTTTTGTTTATTGATAAATTTTGAGTTTCATAGTAATATCTCTTATAGTTCATAAATTATATCCATATAAAGTTTAAACGCCCCTCAATTTAAGGGGGTTGTAAAGTTTATATATTTTATTTTATTCATAATTTTTGAACGCCTAGAGATTGTAAAACCATACTTAAAATTTATCGATGAATATAAATTTATTTAAGAATAGCAAAAAAATTATTTCATCAACTTGTTGCTTTATCATTTGGGGAAGGGGGATAAAATTTTAGGGCTTTTTTTGTTACCAGCCTCCAATCATTGCAACTTTTTAAAAAGCATCATTATTTGACATAAGTATAAACATACAAATTTTGCTTCATGTTAGCTATCTCAAACACCAAAAAATTGGTCACTGCCATAGGTCTCTTGTTTCTGAAGCAAATTTGCTTCAGAATTCAGTGTTTAAACGCTGCAAATGTGTGATAAATATTTATATAAATATAAATTTTCAGCTTAAAAAAAATATCTCAAGAAAATATGTAAAAAATAATTTTTAAATGTACTTTTAAGTTTGCAGTTAGATATTGGATCAAAATTCAATTTATTAGAACCATTCAATAACAAGAAAGCAAGAACGCAGTCGCCATAGCTAGTTAATCCTTGAATCCGCTCTTCTTTTTTAAATGGTTTTTTACAAGAAATCTTTATTTAAAGTAGCTTCTGAAGTTTCTCCAAGCTCATCACATGCTCTAGATTATCTTAAATAAATTTTACTGTAAGCGCAACAAAATAGAATTTTTTATTTCGAAATATATTTTTTAAAACAAGAAATGCGTTTCTTGTTTTATGATATAATTATCCTACGCTGCAATTTATTTTTAAAAACAAGAAATATATTTCTTGTTTTGAGAAATAAATTTCTTAAACTATGCTTAATAGATTTTCAATTTTGCTGTGAGTTCTGATCGACTTTGAAAGATTTTAAAAGTTTTTGACAAGATCAAATGAAAGAGCTATTTCTATTGATTTCATTTTTATTATATTTCTACTGATTTTAAGAAGTCTGTCATTAGAAAAAAAAATGGTTTGTAATTACTTTCTTTGTATTTTGCATCTGGTTTTAAATCTTTTTGCAAATCATTGTTTTTAAACAATTTGTTACTTTATGACACAAATTATTCTTAAAAAATAAGACTAAAATATCAAAGCTTATGAAATTAAGTTTTACTTTAACAAGCCTTGTTAAGAAGCGTTTCCCTATTTTTTATGCAAAAACCTTGTTAAGAAGCGTTTCGCTATTTACGTTATGCAAAAACTTTTTTCAATTAGTTTATTTTAGACAGTATTTTAGAACAGATTATGCGGAAAACATAATCTGTTCTAAAACACTGTCTAAAATAAACTTGTATATATATATATATATATATATATATATATATATATATATATATATATATATATATATATATATATATATATATATATATATATATATATATACACACACACACACACCGGTTTGGGCTCTCAAATTAATCTGCAACTCCAGCTTTCTGTAGTTTATAAATATATTTGTTAAATAAATTCTTTTCTATATGTAGTGTTTGATAAAGCATGAATAAATAGATGGTTATAAAAAAAACAAAATATTGATGCTATTAAAGTCTATATAATAAAAAGGTTGATAAGCAAATGACAAAATTTTGGAAATATTTACTCTTTTTGATAAGATAAATGTAACTTTACATCTGCTACAAAATGTTCTTGCCATTAAATAATTATTCTTTTATTAGTAATATTTTATTGCTTTTAACTGGGTATGGCAACTATTTCTTATATATCTGGTTTTTTGTTGAAATGGTAAAAAAACAATTTTTTTGTATGTTATGCTGTAATAGCTCTAAAAACCAATGTTTCTAAAAACCATTTTGATGAGTGATGGTCTTATAAAACCAAAAAAAAGGTGTTATTGTTGTTTGTGAAGAAACAAGAAAAAGTTGAGAAAATGCTAGCAACAATACCTGGAAAACTACCACATTCTAAGAACATCCCAGAAGTTATATCTATTTCAATTTTGGAATGCTTAGGTTCTAATATATTTAGTGACTCGGATAAACACATGTTTGACAATTGGATTAATGAAAATCATGTACTCAAATTAATCAAAATAGTTTCTAAATGTTAAAGTGAGACTATATGATTTTGGAAATCAAGCCACTGAGAGAGTGGCAGGGGAAAATGTTCAAATAAAATTTAGTTTAAATTGAAATCATTTCATCGTCATTAAAAACAAATTTTAGTTGTTATATTTTGTATGTGTGTGTGTGTATTTAAAGATATTTAAATAATTATATTGACTTTGTATATATATACAAAGATTTAGTGAATTGTGAAAGACATTTAAGTTGAAGCTAATGTTATTTTTAAAAGAAAAAAAAAACTTTAAAAATGAAAAAAAAGCTTAAGTTTATTTTAAAGTTAAAGAAAATTTTCCCTTAAATTTGAAATCTTTAATCATTCGATGAGTATTAATATACTGACCAATATTAGAAAATTGAAGCACTTTGACCAAAGTTGTTGTGTTTGTATCATGTTTATCTTGTATTTGTTTTAAAAATTACTAATGCTTTTTAAGTTCTATCAGACAGTACTTTTAAAGAATATTGTTTATTGCAATTTTTTAAATTTTACTATAGATTCTTGGCCACTATAGTTTAATGAAGATTCATGGTCAATATAATTACACCAATGCAACTTTTTTTTTTTTTTTTGTTATTCGCCTCCTCAAGGCCGAGAAGGCCACTACAGACGAGGAGGCTACTTAATAGTGGTTATAACCCTCTCTCAACTCTATAACTCCAAAACATGAAAAGGCCGCTGCGCAGAGAAACAAGTTGAGCGCGGTACTACCAGGGGCGTGGTGGGGATCAAACTCGGAACCTCTTGCTTATGAAGCGAGTGTTTTACCACTACACCACTACCGCAATTAAGCAACTGCTTAAATTATTAGTAATAACTTTAGGCTGGGTAAATAAAAAAAAAGCAATTGCTTTTACTCAGCGTTTTTAATTAAAAATTTGCAGAATTTGACATTCTTTTTACTTTTCTGAAATTTCATGCAATAATCTCTAATTTTTAAAAAATTATAACCATAAAGTTTTAGCCCTCAAATTAAGGGGGTGTAAACTTTGCAGGGTCATTAAAACTGGACACTTTCACCTCTGATAAATATAATGCATATATATATATATATATATATATATATATATATATATATATATATATATATATATATATATATATATATATATATACATATATATATATATACATATATATATATATATATATATATATATATATATATATATATATATATATATATATATATATATATATATGTATATATATATATATATATATATATATATATATATATATATATATATATATATATATATAATTATATTAATTTAAATGTAATGTATAATATTATACCTCTCTATAACTTTCAATAGCTGTTGTTGCTATGGAAATTGAAGTTAAGATGTAGTTAAACTGGTGTTTTTTTTTTATAACAGGACACAGTTTCTGTGCACAAACCCTCATTTTATGCAAAACGATTTTTGGATTTTATCAAAGACAAAGTTTTTAAAAGAATTGGTGGTTTGTTCTTTTAGCACTTTATTAATATATAGCTTGTTAAATAAAATGCAATAAAAAAGTTTTCACATTTATTTAGTTCAAAAAAGTAACACTAAACGTCGGTCATATCGTAGTTCTAATGCTGTTCCCTTCAGTGAAAAAGGTTGTTTATTTGCTATTAACTTAGTTATTGATTAATTATGAGTTTTTATTCTTTTCTTAAAAGAATTTTAATATAATGTAAAAGCTAATCTTTTTAACAGCATTCATTGTAAGAAAAAAATGCATGTTTAACAAAAAACAGTTAGTCTTACTTTGCCAACCAGGTAAGGCTTAAGTCTGTTGACTGAAATTAGCACACATTTTTATCAATACCGCAATGGAATTAACTTGCTGAAATCATTGTAACAGTGACTTTAATTAAAGCGAAATATATTCCTAATGATCAAATATAATTTTGAATTTATCAATTATTTTTTATTTAGTTTGAAATCTTTTATTATTTTTATTCAAATTTATTAATTAAATGTAAGTAGTTTGTATGTTTTCATCTGATATTTTATACTACTACTACTACTACTACTACTACTACTACTACTACTACTACTACTACTACTACTACTACTACTACTACTACTACTACTACCACTACTACTACTACTACTACTACTACTGCTACTACTACTACTGCTACTACTACTACAAGATAAAAATAAAAAATAAAAGTAAGATTAACAAAGCAGATAGAGTGTTATAACAAAATAAATATATCATAATAATCAAAACATGTTATTATGTGCCAAACATTAAAGTAAAATAAAATTTTATACTGAAAAAACTACTCAATTAATCTTTTTTTTTTTTTTTAATTATTTTCGTGTTTAAATTAGGGTTTCTCAAACGGGATCCCGGGATCCCGTTTTCCCGGGATCCCGGGGATAAAAGTGGCAGCGGGATTTCCCGGGATATCACTCTTATATCCCGGAATATAATTTTTTTTTAAATAATTTTACATATGATAACTTTGAACTAATTCGACCAAAAATAAGAAAAATATTATTGCATTTAGTTGTGTTTTATGTGTTCATACCTTATATTAAAACCTAGCACAACAAGAAATGCTATTGAAACTATCTTAAACTAAAAAGAAATGCATTGCAATGCAATGTTTTCTTTTTTCTCATTATTATAAAATATGAGTAAAAAATAAAAAAGATTTCTTGCGACGAAAACAGTAAGTTTAATTTTTAAACTTCTAAATTATTGAAAAGTTAAACTTTTTCTGTATCAAATTATTGAAATATTTAATAATTTTTGTATTTAAAAAACGGCAAACAAACACATAAAAGTCATACGTAAGATAACATACATATGTAAGAAATATTTGTAACTTTACTTTTAGTTGTTCTGCGATTCAATTTAGTTATACTATGTCAATTGTAAATGGATCCAAAGCATGGCAGTATTTTTGTAAAGAAAAATCTGACGAATCTGCAATTTGCAAAAAGTGCAATGTAAAGATAATGTGCAAAGGATTTTCGACCAGTGGGCTCCTACGTCATTTAAAAAACACACATAAAGATTTGGATCTAAATATGAAGCGTCTACTTGAAGATACTGGTTCGGAAAATAAAATTGTTCAAAAGAAAATAACATTGTTTGTTAAACAGCAGACTATCGAGGAAATTGTGTCAAAGCTAGCAACGGTGGATGGCTTCTCAATAAATGCCATAACAAAAAGTGAATTCATTAGAAAATCATTGTCTGAAAAAGGCATGTTATTACCAAAAAATCCATCCCATGTTATGGGTATGATAAAAAAACAATATGAATTAGCTAGACAAACTGTGGTTTTAGAGATAACAAAAGAAATTTCTAGCGGGTCGCGATTTTCTTTATCGTTAGACGAATATACGTCTTTAAAAAATCGACGTTATTTAAATGTAAATTTACAATTATCAACAAAGTTTTAGAACCTGGGAATGACTCCGATAGCTGGATCACTTCCTGCAGAAAAAATTGTTGATCTAGTTGAAAATAAACTGTCAGATTTCAGTTTATCAATTAAAAAGCACATCATAGCTAGTGTCACTGACGGAGCATCCGTAATGAAAAAATTTGGACGGCTAAGTGGTATTGAACATTAGCTGTGTTATGCCCACGGACTTCATTTGGCAGTATGTGATGTTCTTTACAAAAAGTCAGACTCTTCAGCAAAATATATTGAATTTGAATCGCAGTTTCAAGATTCCGATGAAAATTTGAGTGATTACGACGAGTTTGATGATGTATTTGACTGTAATGATGAGTCACACAGCTCAACAGGCGTTACGTTTATTGATGATTTACAAAATAGCGTAAATATAGCCTTAACAATTCAGAAGGTTCGAAAAGTGGTTCGAATGTTCCGTAAATCACCTCTTAAAAATGAAGTTTTACAAATGTACGTAAAATCTTTGTTTAATAAAGAGCTTAAGCTGATATTAGATGTCAAAACGAGGTGGAATAGTCTTGTTGCAATGCTAGAAAGATTCCTTAAAGTAAAAACATGTATACTAAAAGCAATGATCGATTTAAAAGAAGTTCTGAATATCTCCGAAGATGAATATGCGATTATGAACGACATAACATTTTCTCTGCAACCAATAAAAGTTGGAATAGAAAGACTTGGTAGAAGTAATGCTACTCTACTTGACGCAGAAGGTGTAATGATATTCATCTTAGACGATTTGACGGAGAAAAAAAATTTTATAGCTAATAAACTGCTTCAATCTGTGCAGCAGAGAATTGAAGAACGCAGAAATGCCAATTTAATTGGATTACTAAAATTTTTAAACAACCCAATTAGTTATAATCAGGAATCAAATATCAACTCCAAACTACTCTTACCGCCCAAACATGCATTAAAAGCAACAGCAAAAAAAATTTATACCAGGTTGTACATAGAGGATGCTAGCCTTAGTTCATCAAATAATGAAATAGTTGAAGTGAGTCGTGATAATGAAAGCATGGTTTCTGACCCGTCAATACCTCAACCTGTTGCTCCATATTTATTAGGCAAAAGTATTTTGACGCTTGAACAAAAATTGGATGCGACTATTTGTAATGTCAAACAAGTAGAAAAAGCAGCTCTAGAAAACATTAGCAATTTAAAAAACCTCACAAAAGAAATCAAACTTTTTGAGGCAACTGGAAAGCGTAGCGAAAGTTTAGAAAGAATATACTCAACATTAATGACCATCAAGCCGACATCAATTGAATCAGAAAGGGCTTTTTCTGCCGCGGGTCTATTTATGGGAAAAATTCGTTCACGATTAAGTGACAAATCAATTGATTGTTTATGTTTTTTAAAACAATATTTCATTTTAAATAGTAATATAGATTAGCGTGCTAAGATAAATTTGTGTCAGAAACCGCTTGTTATTATATTAAAAATTATGCCGGGAAATCCCGGGAAATCCCGGGATAAATAAGTTACACACCGGGAATCCCGGGATGCTAAATTTACGGGAAATGAGAAACCCTAGTTTAAATTCACTGTTGAAATTCTAAACAAAAAATCTAAAAATATTTTACTAAATTTTTTTCTTAAAATATTTTAAAAGTTATCAATATTGAATTCTACCTGGAAGAGCGAAAAATAATTTTAAATGTTAACAACCATGTTGAATGTTGACAACATAACACAAGCGAAGTTTATTGGCAGAATTTTATCTGATTATTTATTTTTGATTTGATTTAGGCAAAACTATAAATTCTTTGAATAAACGATATTTATTTCATTCAACTGATTTGACATATGTGTTTCTTTAGTTCATGCCTCATCTCTAGCAGATACCTCTTTTGATCAAACATTTGATGGGTTGTCACTTCAATCAGAAATTGATTTAGGTAATAAAAATTTTCAAAACAACAACAATACTCTTTTTATTGATAAAATAATAGTAAATATGTTATTATTGTTATTACTATCATATTTTTTTGTTTAAAATTTTCTATGAAAGTCCTTTACGCATATGTTTGAAATGTAAAGAATATTAGAAACTTTATATTCATTTAAAAGTGTTTGAAATTAAATTTGTATTGAATTATACTTTAATTATATTTCTGATTTTAATTATATTTCTTAACACTTTTTAGCAAACAAAATCAAAACGAACAAGGTTGTAACTATAATGGAACCAGAGAATGAAATCATAGAAGAAACAGTAATACATGAAGCATTCAATTCTACTGACCAAATAGACAATAAAGAAAGTGAAGATGAAGGAGGAACTTTAAATCTACATGCAGTTAATAATTTTCAACCAGTCCAATCTTCAGAAAAAGACTTTAATGTTGAAGACGATAAAATTATTCATGCAAATAATGATGAAAATGATGTAGAAAAAAATAGAAGTAGCACACTTAACTCAATATCTGTACGGATAAATATGGGTAGAGTTGAATCTAACATTGTTTCTAATGAAGAAATATCATATGTAGAAGAGGTTTACAATGAAAGCAAGTTTTAAGCAAATTTTATTGTAAACAATAATGTATAATTGTAGATTTGGGTGACGATGCTTTGATCATTTATTTTATCATGTTGTGCAAGAAACAAAGACAAACTTGTTTTAATCATATTTTTATATTGAAAAAATCTTTATTTTCATTGTAATTTCATAAAGTTTTTTTAAATTAAGTTGGTTTTTAATTTTCTTATATTTTGTGTTTTAAAAATGATTGCAATAGTCTCCTTGCATCTTTAGATCATTTTTTGTATATAATTTTGATAGAATAATTTTCTTTATTGGCTGTAATATAATCTAATTAGGCTGTGTTTATTAGAAAATTGTAAATGGGGAAATATCCTTAAAACTATAAAATAAAAGATTTTTTATTTGTAACTATTTAATGTTTACTAAAAATTAGATTATTGAAAACTTTTTTAGTGAAAAATCTTTCTAATCAAAATTGTTTCAATCCAATGACATCATTTCAATAAGTATACCATTTTGGAGTTGATAATTTTTTTTTTTAAGGTAAAAAAATAAAATTAACAATAATAAAACATGAAAACAGAAAGAGTTTACATATATTCAATTCACCTTTTAAATTTATTCAATCACACATAATTTCTATGTATGGTTAAGTACAAGAATGTAATTTAAAAGCAGAGGTTTTAAGTTGTGCTATACACGGTTCATCATTGCTTAGTTGTGCTATATTTAAGAAAATAGGTTTTAGTTATATATATATATATATATATATATATATATATATATATATATATATATATATATATATATATATGCATATATATGAATGTATGTATATATATGTATGTATGTATGTATATATATATTTTTATTTTTTATTATTTTTTTTTTTTTTATTCAACCATATCAATAAAATTTACAAATTTCATCGTAAATTAATATAAATTGGTTAGGTGTCACTCATATAGTTACAAACTAGTCAATGGAGTGACACCTAAAAAACATAAAAATTTCACGAAAAAATAAATAAATAGAAAGAAAGAAAAAAAAAGGAAACTGAACTAAACAAAAAAAAAAACAAAAAAAAAAAAAACAAAAAAAAAAAAAAAAAAAGGAAAAACTTAATATCTGTATATATAAATAATAAAGAAAAGAAGAAAAGATTGTTAAACAAATAATAATGATATATGTAATAATAATAGTAATAATACAAAATAATAACAATAACAATAAAGTACCAATAATATTAAGAATATTATAATACAATATAAATTGTATGTACAAATCATAGATGATAATTAGATATAATAATAACATAAAATGTAACATTAATAACACAATAATAAATAAATATAAGATTGGTAAATAATAAATAAAATAAAAATCAAACCACAAGACAACTATAGTACAGAGTGAAATTATAAAGAAATACACTCCAACAATATATTTTTAAATTGAATTCTGTTGAGCAGTAAAAAATTCGTAACAAGTGGATATTTTTTCTTAGACTTTTTTGTTAATGCAGGAATACACTGGTAACATTGATATATATATATATATATATATATATATGTATATATATATATATATATATATATATATATATATATATATATATATATATATATATATATATATATATATATATATATATATATATATATATATATGTATGTATTTATATATATTATATATATATATTATATATATATATATATATATATATATATATATATATATATATATATATATATATATATATGTATATATATATATATATATATATATATATATATATATATATATATATATATATATATTATATATAGATGTATTTTATATAACAGATAATAGCATTTTTGTGGTTCAATTGCCACAGTTTTCTTCACCTCCTGTTAAGTATTTCAAACTCACATTCTCCATGATATTCAAGTTTGATTTTTTAGTTTCAAATTTTGATTTCAATCAATATTTTGGAGATTACTTAATTGAATCAGCAGAGATTTACTTTTTACAAATTATAACATTTATTTTACATTAAAAAGTATATTAATTTATTAGGTTTTTTGATTATAGTTTAAAGTCACATGAAATTATATCAAATATATTACTCCTGAAAGTTACCTGAAATCTGTAATTTTGAAAACTAGGTGAATGTAAACCTGAAATCTGTAATTGTGAATACAAGGAGAAACTTGAATTTTAAAATATCATTGCATAGTATATGTGTTTTAAATAGAATGTTTGTTTTACTGCATAGAATATTTTCAAATGTACTGAGTTATTGTGTAAATGTTAGTTACCTGAAATATGTTTGAAAATAAAAAGCACTTTTTCTACAGTGGAAAGAACGCAACTAAGAACATTTTTTTTGATATAACATTTGTCTTCGGTATGTTTTCCACTCTGTGCAAGTGCAGAAACAAGGACACAATGATGATGATGATGATGATGATGATGATGATGATGATGATGATGATGATGATGATGATGATAATGATGATGATGATGATGATGATGATGATGATGATGATGATGATGATGATGATGATGATGATGACGACTTGTACATCTGTATATATACATTAACAGATTTATTTGATAATTAATATTTGTAGCAATATATTAAAAAAATACAAAAGAAAATGTGCAACTAATGGCTTCTAGTAAAAAGAATCATGAAGTAAACCATCTTGAAAATGAGTTATTTAATGATTTGCATAGCAACGAAGGAATAACATTTGAATCTTTTGATTCTTATAAAGATTTTAGGAATGACCAGGAATTTGTAAGTTTTTTATTTGCGATCAACTTCAGACTTTTTGTTGTTTTTGCAAATTTTAAATTTTAAAAAATATTTTTTAGTTGACATTGCTAGCCAGTACATATGTTGATGATGCAGTAAATGGCAGACATGAGTACTTTATCCCTGAGCCTGAACCATTAAGGTTTAAGTTTGTATTTGCATTGCTTATGTGTTGCACTGTGTATTTCTGTTGCATTGTTTCGAATAATGAATGGTGAATCAATTTGATATGTTTTTTAGGATATATCGTTGGTATCATCAAAAAGGAATTAAAATTTGTCTTAACATATTAATATGGTTAAACATGGCAATTGTTTTGTTTGAGAAACCATCAGTTTATGAATTGCCATATTGGGTATTGGTTTTTATATTTAGTGTGTTTTATTATGTTTGAATCTTGATATAATTTTAAAATAAATAAAAATAAGTTTTATAAAAAGAAAAGATTTTTAGGCAACTATGTTGATGGAGTTTACATGTATTGTTGGATACACAATAAGATTGTACCATTTATGGAACTTCACACCTATAACTCGTTATTGGAAGAATAGAAATGTTATTGTAGTTTTGATATGTATTTTGGTAAATATTATTTCAGAATTATTATTTATTCAAGAAAAGTTCTCTATAAACTGATTAAAAGTCAATTTAAATGTAATCTTTAGTTCACTCTTGTTGATATGTTACTCTTTAGTTCACTCTTGTTGATATGTTACTCTATATTATCTTAATGCAATTGGGACAAATAAAGTATGCCGTACGTTGGTCACGAGTTCTAAGACCTGCATTTATGATTAACTTTAGTGAAAGCCAACAGGTTTTTTTTTTATATTTTGTAGTATCTGTAAAATGTGTTTGTAATGTGATATTTAGTATTTTTGCAAAAGTCAAGAATCTGTTGTTACTATATGTAATTTTTAAAGCTTTAATTTTTTATTTATATTTAAAGTAGTTTATTTTTTTTTTTTTATGATTTATAAATATAACAGAATATACCAAGTATAACAAATCAACAGAACAGAATATACCAAATATAACAAATCAATAGAACAGAATATACCAAATATTACAAATAGCAAAACTAAATTTAACAAAAAATCAATTTTTTTAAAATATTAAATCAATTTTTTTGTAGTAAAAGCTACTACAAAAAATATTTTAAATGTCGAGTAACACTGTTACCCTACATTTAAAAGTTATTCCGTTAAATGATATTTTTTTTAGGTTACATTAATAAAAAATCTTACCCTAACCCCACCTACACCGCACATTTTTAATGGTATACTTTAATGATATTTTTTAAACTAACTAGATTCAAAGATCTTTACGTAATATTCGCAAAATAATGCCAGAAGTTTCAAACGTTTTAGTGCTCTTTCTTTTATTTATTGGTCTTTATTCTTTGCTCGGTTTGAAGCTTTTTGGGAAAAGGTAAAAAAATTTCTTAAAGGTTATTTATGTTAACATAAATTAAAAGTTCTTATATTTCAATATTTTATTAAAAATAGATTTTTAAATTTGGTTTTGGTCAGGCAATATCTATATATAAAGGACATCTCTTTTTTGATGAATACAACTCCACATGTTGAATGACTTGAATAATTTTAATAAATTTAGAAACTTCAAAGATATTCAAGGAGAACCTTACTTTGTGAATTATTGGGACATATATTTTAAGTTATATGTTTTAACAACAACCGCTAATAATCCAGACATTATGTAAGTTTTTTTTGTTTTATGCGTTACTGTCACTTATTTTATATATTTATATATATATACAAGTTATGTTAGTGTATTCTACAAATAGAGTACTCATTGTTTTCGAAAAACAGCAATAATATATTAGTAGAAACACTTATCTAATTTTATACATATATATATATATATGTATATATATATATATATATATATATATATATATATATATATATATATATATATATATATATATATATATATATATGTATATATATATATATATATATATATATATATATATATATATATGTATATATATATATATATATATATATATATTATTTTTTGTGTAATTAACTTTTTCAAAAAAGTCAAGATATTGATGACAATTTCAAATTTAATTTTCAACACAATTGGTTTAAATTATTTCACAAATGAAGAGATAAACGGTTCATATGTACTTAGCAGAGTTTTAAAATGTTTGGTTTAATGTAGTAGTGTGGTACATATCATATGTAGTAGTGTGGTGCATATCATATGTAATAGTGTGGTGCATATCATATGTAGTAGTGTGGTACATATCATATGTTGTAATGTGGTGCATATCATATGTAATAGCATTGTGCATATCATATGTTATAGGTACACAATAAAGTGATAATTTCATATAGAATAGAATTTGTGTCCTTGATTGTGTAACAATCATTTTATACAATTATATTGTACAATAGTTAAACAGTATTTAGTGCATCTGTTACAGAAATATTTTTTGTATTCTATTTTATATTAGAGCTTTTTCATATCTACATTAGTACATATATTTGTATTGTATTAATAGACATTTATTCTTTATATACATATTTCTGTTTGTGCTGAAAGTTTTTTTTAAAATTAAGACAGACAGCTTATATTTAGAGAGGCTGCTTTTTTAATTTAAAAAAAAATGTAAAATGGTTGCTACCCATACTTAGGAACACAAACATTGGCAAACAAAGCAGCTGTGCAGAATAAACATGATTATTGCAATACTAATAGGGGCTTAAGACCAGGTTTGAACCCAAGACTCTTAGACAAAGTAAACATATTATAATCTGGATTTGCAAATAAGTGTGTAACATTGTTTTCAGTATATTGGAAGTATAGCTAATTTTATAACTACTGATTGGTTTAAACATTTATCTTATATAATTTAAAAGTATTGTTATACTTTTTGTTCCCAAACTGATGTTCAAAAAAAAAGTTTTGTTAACTTTCAAAATTTAGTCTCCAAATTTAAGTCTTTAGTTTCAGCCATATGTACAGCTTTTTAATTAAAATCTTACAATATGTATAACGTAGTAAAATGATAATAGTTAAGTATAATCAATTTCTACTTTACATTGTCATGGCTTTCTTCATGACATTGTTAATCATAACATTCTCCATAAAAGATCAATCTTCTATGATTAAAGTTGTTTAATTATCTAAAGGTTGATTGTTTTAATAGCCCTATACCAATCTGGTTGCTTTGCATACACCTTTGGTATATGGGTTTACCAAAGAGTTTTAATATGCTATGCCTACTCAGCTGTAAAGAATAATTTTCTATAATTTTTTTATTTCAATAAATGTTTTTTATTTAGTTATTATTGGGTAGACAAAACAAATTTTATTTTGCATTGGAAAAAGTTTTGACTAAGCCCTATTTTTAAAGTGGATTCTAAAAGAAATTATCGGAAATAAGAAAAAAAGAGTTTTGCATATGTTTATTAAATAGAAGTTTATTACAATAGGTTTAGTTAATTTAATTCATTATTGAAATTTCATAATTTTACTAGTGTTGTTATCGCCTTCAACTAAATCGACTAAAAGTCGACTAGTCAAAAGTCAAAATTAGTCAACTATAAAAAATCTAACAGTCAATTTAATTGACTTTAGATTTTCTACTAATCGACTAAAAGTCGATTTAGTCGGGTCCTAAAATTCTTATCTTTATCTCTTTGTTTGATTTAACTTTGTCAATATTTAATTTTATTATGATGCTGACCAATTAGTAAAGATATATCTTTATAAGTAGATTATAAAGATAAACTATTTGTAAAGATTGTGCCATGAGCAAGATCATTATTCATAGCTGGGTTTTTAATTCAACCAAAATTTCTGAACATTGACCCTAATTTACTGTTTCACATAAACTCAGCTCTAAGCTTACTGTATTCTGTACCACTACATTAATGTTTAATTATTTCTTGTTATACTGACTCGTTATATAAAGTTAATTCTTTAACAAATTATTTAATAATGTGTCATCAGTTAACGATGCCAAAAAGATACAAAGTTTTATAAATCTGAAATCCACTAAAAGTTTGGCCCTACCAGCCTCCACCTTGATACGCCACAAAAATTACACCTTACAAATTTTTTCCTTTAATTGTTGTGATAAATGATGCAGAGAGAATCTTTTTTTAAAAATTCTCTCTGTTTTAATTCAATTAAAATACAAGTCAATAAATTCATTCAAATTCTTTTTATTGATTGATACATTTAATAATAATTCCCAATGGACATTTTAAATGATTGGTTCAACTCCTTTTTGAAATTAATAACAATTAGAATAATTCTAATAGTAATAATGATAGATACTCATGCAAATCCTTTTAGACATTATTTCTGCATGAAGGCATTCTTATCTTAACACACTTAAAAGCCGTTCTTTGACTTATTTGTAATAGCTATTTTATTCTTATTCCTTTTTATGGTAGAAATTAAATGTCGAATCGAAACATTCATAAAAGTAAAAAATGTGAAAAACAATGTGAAAAACAATGACTCTACAATAACATTGTGTTAATATAAAGACTTTAAAAAACAAAATTTGCAACAAAGAGCTAAAATACAATAAAAATACAAGCTTAATGGTAAATCATTGGTATAGTAACCATCTGATTAATATTAAAGAGTCTAAACTTCCAAGTATAACAACTGGTTATGTATCTATCAAAGCTGCATTTGCTAACTCTCACTCATATTGTTCAAGTTCGCAGAAATATAGAGAGATTTAGAGGAATCTCTGTGTAACTTTGTTATTCAAACAGGTCAACCGCTTTTGTATGCCACTTTTTTTTATTTTTAGTGCCGCTTAAATTTAAATCATTTAAAGTAAAAGTAATGCATCTTTTAAACCAAGCTGAATTTTGCCATCTAACCACAGATGGATGGACATCACAACCCTCGCATTCATATGCTAGCGCCACAGTTCATTTTGTTGATCAAAATTTTTGTTTGGAATCGAATCGTATTGCATTAAAGCATAGTTCAAAAGCCCATACTTGCCTATATTTAAAGGAGCAAATTGAGTTAATTTTGAGGGGGATTTAAATTTGTGGCCAAAATTTTAGGGTTTTTTGTTCACAGGATCCAATCATTGCAATTTTTTGCAAAGTATTCTTATTTGACATAAGTAATAACAGGGTGATTCCATGTAAAAGTGGGACAGTCATTTCAGTCACCCTTGGATTTGCTTTAAATTTTAGCCAGTGGTATGTATTAAAGAAACATGAAAGAATGTTAAATTTGAGCTCTCAAATCCAAATTTTATGGATTCAATTTCTTTTTTAAATAAAAAAATGGTTTTGGTTTCTTAAATCATAATAAAGATATGTCATTTTAAAATTAATGGGGGGCCTCCATTCTCCATAATAGAATTTATAGCAATACTTTTTGTGTGAACAATTTATGTTCTAGAGGAAGAATATGACTGAAAATTGGCTCAACTAAATGAAAGAATAACGATTTCAAAACTTTTCATCATCTTAATTGTTTCGTTAAAGCTGAAACATTTAAAGCTAAAATATTACATGAAAAAGAAATAATATCAAAATTTCAGAACAACCCAAAATCTTCTACAAATACATTAACAACCAACTAAAAATTAAAGATAAAATTCGTTCTCCCAAAAATGCTTCAGGGAAAATTAATGAAACTCGTCCTGACCATTTTTAAAGATGTTGAATACAAAGACAAAGAGAAAAGTATTTCTAGTATTTAAGAATAATTTCTTAATTTTAAAATATCAACTGTCAAATTTTTTGTTTTGTAACCATGGTTTACATTTCACTTATTTCTGGAATTGCCTTACTCTAAATGTAAAATAAGAGGTCTTGAAAAAGTTTATGTTCCTAAAAGAAAATAAAAAAATTATATTACTTAGCATAACTTGCATATTTATAACCAATATTTTCAAAAGTATGCATGGAAATATAATTTCCAATACATCACATCGAAAATATAGTTTCATTATTTATTAATTATAATAATTTAACTTAACATTATTACTTTTTTATTTTTTATTTTAACTGTTAACTAACTTATGTTAACTTGCCTCCCCAAGGTCAAAAAGGCCACTACAGACAAGGAGGCTACTTAGTTGTAGTTATAACCCTCTCTCAAATCTATAACTCTGAAACACAAACTTTGACAAATAAGGCAGCTGGGCGGAGAAACAAGTTAAGCGGGGTTTTTCCAGCAATATGGTGGGGATCAAACTCAGAACCTTTCGCTTATGAAGCAAGCGCTCTAGCACTACTGCACTTGATGTATAATAATTAAGCATTGTTTCAAAATATTGTTTGCATGCTCAAATGTTGTGTTAAAAAATGAGAAACTAAAATGCTAATTTTTTTGAAAAATAGTAAAATACCTGCTTTATTGAAAAAAGCTGAAAAATAAAAATGAAGAGGAATAACCCAATATTACTAAAATTGAAGTTGATATCATTTAAATAATGAAAGTAAAATATTAATAAACTTTCACTGACAAGATAAAAGCTGTTCATATAGAGTTTCGTTTTCTTTTGTGGTACTGATGCCCAGAAAATGTTGACGGTGTTTTAACAAGGGAAATGATATTCATTCTTGGCACCCAGCAATTATTATCTCTCTTTAGCAAATTGTGCAACCAACTTGGATAATATGGATGCATAAACTTTACCATAAAATGATCATTCACTTTATCAACTTCAGTGACCATACCAAGCCAGTAAA